AGAGCAATTGGGCGCCAGGCTCTTGTTCAGTTATATGATCACTCTGCTGGATTTGGGATGTGAACCCACAACCCTCCAGACTCTGACACAGAAGCCGATCGTACTGAGCAATTCACCAGTTGGGGAGCAGTTGACTTGGACCAGGTTCTTCAAGCAGATGTGAAAGCTGGGAGCATGAAGGTGTGAATGAACAGGTGTGGAGTAAGGGCAAGATTTAAAACACATGAAAAACAACATTTTGGCTGATGTGAAGGTAGATTTAAAAAGCCAGGAGACCCACAAGGACAGATGAGCATTATTTCAACATGAAGAATGGAGCTGTGTAGAATATAGCAGGAAGGAATCAATAATAGAACAGATCCCTGGAAGTATTTTTCTGAAAGTGTAAGACATAGGGATAAAAACTGTCCAGCAGTAAGATGTAGGGCAGATTCCAGCTATAGGAAAAAGGGCAGAAGCTTAGCACGATGCTTGCACTGCACACTGCACCACGTCACAAGCAGCCCAGAGGTCTTCTCGAATCACTGCTACACAAACCAATGCAGCTATTGCAGTGTGGATGATATTAGAGACTGGGGTAGATCTGGAGTGCATCCAGGCAAAAGTCTGGTTTGGAGGGAAGGGAAGCATCATTACAGAAAAGAATGCATCAGTTTATAAACAATGCGGACAGAGAAAGAAAGGGTAACATGGACTGAAGGCAATGCACACTGAGACGGGAGGCGGGGAAAAGGCAGGATCTGGGATTGCAGGGGACCAGCTACAAAGAGGCAAGACGTGAGATGGAAGGGGCCAAATGGGAGGAACTGAAGTTCTACAGATTACAGAACATTACGGAACCTAGGCCAGAAATACCAGACTTCTGTAAACTATCCTGATGAAGATTTAATTTCAGCAGTTCATCCTCAGTTCGCCTTTTTTTTTTACGCAAGTTTATGACATCATTTGGGAACACCCTTTTAAGACTGTTCCGGTGCAAGCCGGTCAGACTGCCAGGCCTGTCCAGGTCAAGAGAAAAGCCAGGTATTGATGTGTGCACCAAGGATGTAATCTTTACCCACTGTTCTTCATACCAAACGTCAGATTATCGTTTAAGGCATTATTATTACGGAAAAAGTAACATGCATTTGGCAGCCTTTCCCAAAAGATTCCAGATATTCCAAATATCTGTTCCCATTTCATTTTTAATCTTAAATTTTGGAGAACTTTTAAACACTGTCGTCTGGAAGTTGTCCCCGGGGCAGTTATCACACTTATTTCTCTGCATAAAAAGTCATGCTTTCCATCCAGGATTGGCATTACAAAGTGTCATATGCCTTTATCCCATTAAAAATCACATCTCCAGCCTGCTCTGCACCTCCTCTGTCATCAAGGACTTCTGCTGGCTTGTGTGATGTGGCCTGACACAATGTAACGAGATAATGCTCATTCTGGAAACCAGCTGTGGGCACACAGGTGTGTGTTGCTTTTACAGCAGCTGCTCTCTGCTGTTTATATAAACAATTGGTGCAGTGAATCCTGCAATTAATTCTTCCACATTTCTCTGTAAAATGCAGAAAAAAACAAATGCTCTAAAAATCAATGCAATGCACATTACCAGGGGTTAATTTGTATGATATTTGCCAGTATCTGCAAAGACTGAAAACTTATCACAGTATAAAGGTACGGCCGTTGCATTGCTTTAAATCTTTAGTATATTTCAACCAAACTATATTAATGGGAAGCATTTAATTTTCTTAATTAGTAGCTTTGTAACCGTGGGACAAAACAAAAAAATCAGCTCGAACACCGTTTTACTTTGGTTCGTTTTCATCACCAGAAAAATGATTCATGACATACACCATTTTATTTGGCAGGGAGCAGGGAGCCAAAACAAAACCAAAAACCAAGAAGGCACAGAAAAGCTGCAAAGAAACAAACAAAAAAGTGAAATTTGCAGACAGGGGCATTTTGTTGGTGCCTAAAAGAAAAAATAAAACATTTTTGTCAATTGTTTTGTCAATATTTGTAAAGGTAAATTGAATATCCACTAACACAGGAGTTTTAAAACTTTTTTGAACCAGGGACCCCCAACCAAGAGCACCATAAAGGGGGGGGGGACTTAGGAAGATACCAAGGGCCCCTGAGTGACTGGGGCCCTAAGAATTTTGGAATTTTAGAACATAATTTGATTAGTCTGGGTTCAAAGCCCAATATTATATACTTTCATGGGTCCCAAAAATCCTATCAGCTCCCCCTGCCCCCAAATCAGGGCTAGGGACCCAGTAACTAAAAGCTAAGGACTAGGCTGGGGGGGTGGGGGGGGCTTTAATGTTGGGCCTAAGCTGAGCAGAGCCCCTGCACCCCCCCTGAAACTGCTCTACGGAGGTGTTTCTGTTTTCTGGAGATTGTTGTGTTTTGCAGACATATGCACTTGATGACCTTGCACTGGCAGTGAAGAACATTTTTAACCAGACAAAGCTGTGTGGAAGTTTTTATATTGTTATATATTTACAAATATTTAATCCACTTCAATAAAAGTGTGTAAAAAATGCAAGTATATAGTATATTTTAAGAAAATCAGCAAGAGTTTAACATAGTTTGACGTCATAAATTATACATGTTAATTATATATGTAAACAACGCAAAGTACTGTATAGCACTTCCCCCACAAAGAAATAAAGCACACGCTGCCTTTCGTGATTTATTACTGACCACACTGAATGGTTTATAATATTACCGTAAAAAGTTACAGTAAGTTTTTCCCCATTTGCCTTTGCTCTGTTACAGGCAGGCAGGTCAGATGCGAGCAGGATGCGGAGGCACTGTTAATTCACAGCAGGCGTTTGTAATAAAGCTTCATAGCACAAACATCTCCACATCTCATCTGCCACGAAACAGAACCACCAGGGCAGAGACTCTCCCACGTCATCAAAGCTTTAGATCAGGTTTTAGATGCAAGCTTCATTGGGCCTGTTGTAGATGATTTGTTATGTCCCTAAACCTAAGTAAAATCTGAAGGGTGTACATCTCCACAAAGCAGAAAGAGACTCATATCTTTTAAATTGGTGTCTCTTCTCATTATCCGCACAGGTGTTCGAACAGTTAAAAGATGCATTCATCATATTTAAATATCAATGCATGCAAACACGTATAATATGTATATACATATGCTTAAATATTAGCTTGCATTTTTTTCTATCCTTAGTCCTGTTTAATCACACGTCAGTACTTTGTTAAACACAACATTTTATGATGACGTGGCAGATTCATTGGACATATCTTTCACCTTTACAGTCGTTGTCTTCTGTTAGTAACAGAAGGAAAACAAGGGGGAAAAAATGAAGAGGCGATGACTCCGACCGCCTCACTAAAACTGCAACGTGTCCATTGCAGAATGCCGCTTTGATACGGTGCCAAACTACTTCCTTCATTTTTTTTCTTCACTTTTGTCTTACAGCACATGCCTCTGACTTGCTGAGCAGCCCTTTTGCAAAAGCTAAACAGTCAGTGTGCACTACATGACTTTTTATTTTTTTATTTTCCTCATTTAACCAGTGTTACAGAACATGTTGTAACATCACCTGGGCACTGCACATCCACAACACACTAAGGGCTCACAACAGGTTTTAAAAGATGCCCCAATGTGATGCTGGTCTGGATGGATGGATGCTGCTGCAGAAACTAAATGTCTTTTTGAGAAGATGGCAAAGTAAGAAATACCATTATACTTCAAGCATCAGCATGATTTTGTCTAATGTGAGATCATAGAAGCGTATGACACATCTAGATATCAGGGAAAATACTGTACGACTTTTTTTATCCCTGAAAAAAAGTACAACTCATTGTTTGGTAAACACATCTCTTGAGTGTAATTGTAACCTGTGACTTTAATTGCAGTTTATGGAAACTAAAGTATTCTCCTCAACCAACCTGTGGTAGACATGTTCCAAGATGAAGATTTATGAAAGAAGAAGAGACTTATTCCAATTAGAGCAGTTTTCCTGTTACACCATATAAAACCAGAAGATACTCAACCACACAAAGTATGTCCATAAGCATATATTCTAAAATAAAAAAAGACTCTTCATATGGGAAAAATAATCTTTATATAATCATGTACAGATATTTTAGCAATGGTCAGTGAAGTTTTCATTATTGTCAATATCAATTTTTTCAATTTATTGTGTTTTTTCCAGTCTGGATAGTCTTTACAGTTGAAAAATGTATCAGTTTAATATATATGTATTCAATTGAATATTAACCAAAAAAAAGTCAAAATATGATTTTGGCCCAATGCGAAATACACATATTTGTTTAAACAACGAGAAAGACTCAAAATTAGACAGCTTCAGGAATGTTTATACATAGATGAGTATGTGAGATGTTTCTATATATAACTGTTAAATATATACAGCACTGTAAAATGCATTTGTTATTAAAGTTATTAAAGGTGCAAAAATGCAGTTCTGCAAACTGTTTGTTGGTTTCAAATCTCAATCCAGCATTAACAATACTTTGTGTTGTGGAAATGCGGCAAAACTGATTTAACAAATAGGAGATAAAAAACTTTTAGTGAATGAAAGTGTTTTGTTTGTAATAAAAATGTCCAAAGGCACGTCGTAATAAATGCCAGTAAAAATCACAAAACAGAGATAATTTATTAACTGAGAATAAATATTTCAAATCATTGATTGAGTTTTTTTTCTTTTAATTAATATAACCCAGGAGGATCTACCATCTGAAAATATCCATTACTTGTCGCTATCCTTTGATGTGATCTTTCTTGTTGTCTGACTCAAAATGAGAGGAGGAATTTCCTGGGACTAAATGATCACCTTCAAGTTGGAGAGAAAGAGAGAGAGAGAGAAAAAAATTAAGTTGCTTGGGAGTTTAGAAGACAAGAAAAGTTTTGAGACAGCCCTCTAGCTGGCGAAGGAGGGACTTTTTAAAACATGAACATACACAAGTTATCTGGTGTGTCCAGCACCTCCCCAAAATTTTGGAATATAAAAGCCAGGTCAATTCGCTCGTTTAAGCAGTAGGGAGTTTCTGCTGGGGTCTGGATTGGAGATACAACGACCGGACCCTAACTTGTATGATTGGAATCTAAAGAAAAACAGGATTCCCCTCGTCTCAAAGAGTCTACATGTCTAATATTTAGACATGTTCAGCTTTGTGGATATTCGGTTAGCGCTGTTGCTTGCCGCAACAGTACTTTTGGCAAGAGGTCAAGGCGAGGAAGATAGTGAGTAACCGTTTTATCATCTTTATTGTGCTTTTATGTGGCTGCCATGCAGAAACACAATGAGTGAATTTCGCCAAACTTTTAAGATTTGATAAACTCACACGTGACACACTTATTCTCGATTTATGCATTTCCTCGTCGCTGAAATCTGTGCTTTATTGAATTGAAGCTTAGTCTGCATGCGCTGTTGCGGCGAAGCGAGTTGTTACAAGTCCACAGCATCCCGTGTTCGAGCGCTTTATTGCGTCCTACGGCTAGAAGCTCCACAGGAGCAAACTTTGCGGAATAAGGCGGGATGCTCGACGGCGCATCAGCTTAATTACAGCCTCTGCTCATTCGGGTGGAGGCGATTTTTAGAGGTTAAAACGTGGTTTTGGGATGAATATGGCCCATAACATGTTGGACTAAATATAAAACAAAATGCGGCCAGTTTGTTATTGTAATAGATTTTATAAACGAAAAATAGCTCTTCAAATAGCGTATCTGATTTCCATAATTTGGTCCAAATGTTTAATGATGCTACAGATATTTAACCTTAATTTGATCATTCTTAAATTAATATCCGGACTGGGTGCAAACAATGAAAGGGTAACCATTATAGAAAGCTTGTGATGTGTGAAAACAAACAATAAAAAATGAAATTAAGAAAACTCTAAAGATGTGTAGAATAAAGGCTTTAGACGTCCGAAGTGAAATCGTCTAGACATCACTTCATCTCGTAAGTTTTGGATACGGGGCGTGTTATCGAAGTGCCACAATTCCACGGTCTTAGTGCGCCTCCTTGTGTTTGACGTGTGCACTAGAAAATTTAAGGGACCACCCCCCCCCCCCCCCGCTTGCATCTACACGCGCACACGCGCGCGCGCGCGCACACACACATATACACACACGCGCACTGAAAAAAGAGGGGGAAGAGAGATAGAGAGATATTCTCTGTTATTGTCTCACATTTTCCAACATATAGTTTGCGATTATGTCAGTAATAAAAGTTTCAAGTCAGTAATTTCACCCACTATTGTTGTCTTTTGCACGTAATTCTCTTTAGATAGGCCTATCAGATTTTATTTGGACGTCACCTACATTAAAGTGGAAAACAGTCCAGTTGAACACTGGGCCATGCGTAATCTTCGTTTCGTAAACTGCGTTTGGGCCATAATTTTAATGAACGGTTTTAAAGCCACATAAAGTTTTCATTGAGAAATAAATTTAGAAAACTGTGATTAGCTCATTTTTACTCAACATGAAGTGCGTCTTTGTGGTGCAGTTTGCTGCGATTTATTAATATTTCAAATGATTTAACTATGTCATTTTAAAACTGGGATATGATACTGTTCACAGATATCATGAAACAAATAATAAACTTTCCCCACCTTTTTCCAGATATATTTAGGCATTTCTGCTATATCAATGCACCATAGACACCAGCGTAATTAAAACCATTGGGTTTCTTTAATAAGATACATAAGCAAGCGAATAAAATTAAAAATTAATTCAAATGAAATACATGAAAATGTTATTACAAACATTACAAAAATATAGATATCGTTTATTTTGCGAGTTCTACTGTCTTTTAGGCCTATAGGTACATATATATTTCACTTTAAAAGATTCCGATTAATCGGAATTTGCATTTGCTGATTTAGCCTAAAATAAAGGTTCGAAGAAGCATTAGCAGCGCGATCTCGTTTATTTGTTTTTTTACTATGTGATTTTACGCGCGGCACTCTTCCGGTTCCCCTTTTCAGGGTCCCTGCGCATTTGTTCATTTAATGGGAAATGCACGTTTAAAACGTCACACTGCTGCTTTCGTTAACTGCAGTCGCGGCCGGCAGCTGTCAGTTGGACGGGCAGACTTACAACGACAAAGATGTATGGAAACCTGAGCCCTGCCAGATCTGCGTGTGCGACAGTGGCAACGTAATGTGCGACGACGTGATCTGTGAAGACACCACCGACTGCGCCAATCCAGAAATCCCCTTCGGCGAATGCTGCCCTATCTGCCCAGACGATGACGGTACTGCGCCCCTTCCTCTCATTATTATACCTATTAAAGATGTTTATTGAAATCTTAAAAAATCTGGAAAAAAAAATCACTTTTTATTTGAGAATAGTTTTGCCTTCAGAATGAGTCTTTTCATTGAAAGGAAACATGGCAAGAAATAGGGATGGAAAATACACTCAATTTGTAAAAGTATAATGTGTATATGTAATGTATATGTTATAAAATATATTAAGTATATATGCTGAGTATAATGTCCTGCAGGCCTGCTTGTTAAGATCTATCTGAAATATTTTTTGATTCACTACACCAAAATATACAATTTGTTTATATGCTGCCTGTAAAGTGTCATGTTCAAATTAAAGTATTTAGTACTCAAAGTACTTACATAAACCAGTAAGTTAAAATACTGGCAAAGCTGAACTAAGATTTAATACATCAGATTTTCAGTTTCACACTATGACTAATATTATAAAATCGTTCTAAGGCCCTTTACTGAACGGGCAAGTTAAACACACAGAAATGGTTTTATTGGTGCTCTATAATCCACATTATTATCAGCAATATTTTTTGTTTGCATATTTAATGTACACATTTATAGAGTTAAATGTGTTTTATTGGATTGCTTTTGGATATTTTATGAAGATAATAATCTAATCTATTTCATTCATTTGTTTTCATAGGTTCTTCAAAAGCAGAGGTAAATGTTTTGCTCTATACTAACTAATGTAAACAATCATCTTACACAATGACATACACAGATATTATGCCTTTGACAAATTGTCAAGACCCTCTAGCAATCATTTTTGTAAAAGATCTTGGCACCAAACCCTTACTTTCATAGGTCAATGTTATCTTTTAATGTAAGTGGATGTCAAAGACTATAGGACTTAGTAAAAAAACATAGAGGAAAAATGTGACCTTTATCGCCTTCATAGGGACCCAAAGGTGACCGTGGACCCAAAGGTGACCGGGTATGTTCCTGTCTTAATTACTCTAAAGAGCTAAAAATAAGTATTCTATAGTCAGGCAACTGGAATTTGTGTGAAGGGACTAAAATAGATACTAGTCATATATCGATTCCTATATATGCGTTTGAGTATTACATATGTCTTTCAAATCGTGTTTGCATTTATCAGTTGGTGAATTTTAAGTGGTGATGTGAAACTCGCAGCATTGATCATGTACACCAAGTGAACAGAAATGCTAGCTTTGTGCTACAGAGCGAAATAGTTGTTTATTGAAGTACTAAGTACTAGGTAGTCTATTTTATGTTTTGAGACCTATGTTAAAATCATCAATGTGTTACATATATTTCGTGGAAGATTCTAATTTTCTTTATGCATTGTCATCGAATTCTTCAACCGATAGGGCACCCCTGGACCCCCAGGCAATGACGGCATCCCCGGACAGCCTGGCTTTCCTGGACCCCCCGGACCCCCCGGGCCCCCCGGCCTTGGTGGAGTAAGTACCACAGCACTTCTTATCCTCCACCTGCAGATCGCTGTGCGCTTTGCCTTTGTGTGTGTGACTTCAGCACTGCTTGGTTGGACAGCGCACAGATTTGGCTCTGCTCACAGGAGGCAGGCCCCTGAGCTTCATGAAATTAAAGCTGCCATTTACGTTGTTGTGCCCAGAAAACATAAAATACTAGGCTAATGCCCACTAGCGGCTAAAATTAGCATTTGATTTGCATTTTCTTTATGGTCGGCCATCTTGTACTGCCTAACTCTGTTCTTCTTTCCTTCTGCAGAACTATTCTCCTCAAATGTCAACCGGTTATGATGAGAAATCTGGTGGAGGGATGACTTTTCCCGGCCCTATGGTAAAGAGTCACTATAACTGCAGTCTGTGTTTTGAATTTTAAAATATCGATTGACACTTCCTCAGAGATCAGTAACTAATCATTTATTGTCAAAATGACCCGATAATTACTTTTTGCACCTTAACAAATAAAAAATGTTTTTTTTTTTTCAGTTATTTAAACAAATAAGTTTTTGTTTTGTGCTTGAAGGATCACAGTTGTACCTTTGCTATATGTTTGTTTTCTCAATAAAAAAGTAAATGATGCAACATTCTGTCCCATATACAAAGCTACCTTTGGTAGTTCTGGTAGCTTAAGCATCCTAGTAGAGTTTCCGGTTGTTAACTCATTGTTTGTGGTCTAGGGTCCCATGGGTCCCCGCGGTCCTCCCGGTCCCTCTGGCTCCTCCGTAAGTGTGCCTGCCTTCCCTCACCAGTGACATTTACTCTTAGACTGCCCACACCCATTTGCTCCATCGTGTCGACCAGTGATGTCATGCGAGTCACTTTACGACCTTACTGTCATTTTAATCAAATTAACTGTGATGACATGTTAACAATTGCAATGTGGATTATGGAACAACAGCAAATTACAGGGAGCATCACTGTTTAATTAGAAAACAACCAACAGCAATAAATTTTTTTTTTTCCCAAATCTAACAGGGACCCCAAGGCTTCACTGGCCCCCCTGGTGAACCCGGAGAGCCTGGTGCTACTGTAAGTACCCCCCCCCCCATCTATCCTTCACAACAGTTGACCAGCTGCAAGATCCACCTCTTCTTCCTCCTGCTGTTCAGTATAGCTCTGCAACACATAATTCCCACATTGGACAATCCAAGCATCAGCAATGTCATTGTCAGAACAAGTACTGAATAAATATGCAAAATTCTTTCAATGAGAAAGTGTCTTTGAGCAATTGATTTGGGACATTTTATTCTTTGCACTTATGCTTTTACTGTGATCAGTATTTTGTTGTGAGCTTCGCCTGTCTTATATCATGCCTCATTCAGGCTGCTGTCAGTAACTCTTACTTTCTATCTTCTTCAGGGTGCTATGGGTCCCCGTGGTCCTCCTGGCCCATCTGGAAAGAATGGAGAAGATGTAAGTAACCAGATGTATTAATCCATCCATCCATCCATCCATCCTCCAATCAATTCTTTCCTAAGACCTGTGGTCATCATTTGATTGTCTTCCTTGTATGAATCAGAAATACAATTTAAGCCTAATCAGAAATTAGGCTCAATCAAATCAGTCATCAAATACAGCAAGGGTTAGCAGTCCCTTCAAAACATCACCGCTATCCTGCCATAAAATTACAAAACCTTGCCAAATTTGGCCTGTTTTCCCAACTTTTTTATGTCGATAAAAAGCTCAGGCAGAGGTCTCACTGTCCTTCTCTCCTGCTCAGGGTGAAGCTGGCAAATCCGGGCGCCCTGGTGAGCGCGGCCCATCTGGCCCTCAGGTAAAGCCTGCTGACTTATTATTTAAACACCAAAGGTCAGATCACTGGTGCATGCAGTTACGGTCACCATGGCTTATAAGGAACTACAGCCACTCTGCCACTTGACAACTTGGCAACGGGCAGCATTTGTGCTGATTTCATCTCCTTCGTCTGCAGGGTGCTCGTGGATTCCCTGGAACTCCTGGGCTCCCCGGCATCAAGGGACACAGAGTGAGTGAATGCTGGTAGAGACGCACCCTGGTGGGTATAATGCAAAAAGGCTGCTGCTTTAACATTGTCCTGCTTTCCGTCTAAGGGCTTCAGTGGTCTAGATGGATCTAAGGGGGATACTGGACCTGCTGGACCCAAGGTGAGCTTTTAGACGGCCAATGCATCAAACAGATATTGGCTGTATGCTAATGTTTGCGTAGAGCTTATTGTAACCATGTCTCCGTCAACAGGGAGAGCCTGGCGTCACTGGTGAGAATGGTGCTCCTGGCACAATGGTATGCAACATTTATTGCCTCATATCTTGAAAGTATGGATCAGAATTTGTTTTGCATAAGTGAGATCCCCATCATAAAGGTCCCCATCATAAATCCACCCCTGCCTTGTTTTTCCACAGGGCCCCCGTGGTCTCCCTGGTGAGAGAGGCCGTCCTGGTTCTTCTGGCCCTGCTGTAAGTACCCTTTAAAAAAAGCCTCAGCTGTACAGCTCTGACTGAGGACATGCCTTATCCTCTAGTCTAACTGCACTCTTCCTTCTGGCTGTATGCTTTCCACTGTATCTTGAAGGAATCTCTGTCCTCTTGTGGCTTCTTATAGATTAACTTATTAGGTTAATAATCATTGTCCATTTAGATGGAATCTATCTCTTCTGAATAAATAATGAAATAATGAAATTGCCCGTCTGCAATTTGCAAAAAGCTGCATTTCACCTGCTGGGGTGTAATCTGGGATTATGATGAATTAATATGCATTATAACCTAGTAGTCATCACATAATACCTTTAAATTATTAGACACTATTAGGACATCTTAAAACTTGCAAAGCTTATTACACTATAATTTGTATACAGTATATACAATGAACAAAAATGTCTGACACATGTTTATTGTCTGATGATTCCTTTTATTTCCCAAATGGTTGTGCTGCTTAAGTGAATGATTAGAATGGACAATGAAACTTTATGCAAATAAACAAATAATTAAATTTAACAAATGGCCGAGCGTACACCAAAAACATTTTGCAAAAAGTATTTTTCATGCCCTGTTCCTAAACACAAGCCCACAAGCTCTTTTGCTAGCAGTAACAAGACCCTTTAAGTGAAGAATGTCTCACGATTCATGCTGACATCACAGTTGTCTGCACAAAATCCCAGCCATTATAGCAGCTAATCCTAGTGTGTTGTAGTACTGCACAATCATAGTAACAGGCAGGCACCCTCATTATGTTGTCATTAGTTTTTTAAACAATTGATATGAATCAGTATTTTTTCCTTAAGCGTAGTTACATTTGGCTCAGTCAAATGTGACATTTCCCTACCATCCACACCCAAATCTACACCCTTGAGTATTTGCATTAAGCAGTATTAATACAATATTTATTTTGGACAAGCCTTATAGTCTGATTTTTATAATTTACATTATTTAAACAAAAAATGTGGCAAGCAGTACTGGATAAATGATATCCTGTTAGTAGGAAAATCATTTTTTGTTTTGTTCTTATATAAAGTCAAACAGGAGTCAAATATCTGACACTACTACCTGTAAAATGTAACGAGATATAAAGCAAAGGTTTTTTTTCCAACTATTTCATTGTTGGAGCCACAGCAGAAACCCCAAGGAAGTGTTGACTGGTCATACCTATATACTTACATACTGAATGTGTCTGAAAGCCGATGTCTGAGTCTGTACTGTCTTTCTCTAGGGAGCTCGTGGTAACGATGGATCTTCTGGTGCTGCTGGACCTCCTGTAAGCATTTCTCTTAATATGTAGTCCATTGCTGTATTATAATTAACAGCAGTTAACTTCACTCGATCTATTTATCAAACTTCAGGCGAATCAGTCGCACGACGTTAGCATTAACAGCAGTGCAGTTCATATCCTCTGAGCGGAGCACCATAGTATACTAATGTCTAACTAGGAGAAAAAGAATCAGTGGGTACATTTATGCACTGGTACGTCACTAAAAACTTGATGTAAGATGGAATCAGGCATTTCGGTTCCATCCTGGTCAAATGATATCTGTGCAGACTTTTATCACCTTTGCACAGAAGTACAGGGCTGATGTCTGAGTGTCACATTGTTTCAATGCCATTCGGGCTCTTGTTGCATTTCTAAACGCGTAATTCACATCTCTTGCATTTCAGGGACCCACCGGCCCCGCTGGTCCCCCTGGTTTCCCCGGTGGTGCTGGACCTAAGGTCAGTGCTCCCATCACCTGAGCAGTGGTCATTCTGACTGCCCCATACCTGTTAAATGAAAGAATGGATTCACTGGCAGGTGGAATTCCCCTCTCTTTGATCCCAAAACAACTAACATGAAATTAAGTGGGATCCTTTTGAAAGGATTATCCTGTAGTAATCGTACTAGGATGACTACAGCTATTCATGTAATTGTTTCCTGTATACATTCACTAAGTGCACTACAAGTTACAGAATGGACTGGTTTCTTATTAGAAAATAATTTTAGATGATTATTTGGTCCATTGTTTAATCTTACATTGGCTGTAATGAAGCGCAAATGTTGCAAAATAATTTGAATATAATTTGTTAAGCATTTTTCAATAGTATTGGGCATTATGTTTTCTTTAAAGATGAGATGTGATTGCAAATAAGATACGTAAAGCATGAGATCAGTGAATCTGTTACTTTGTCCAGAAGGAACTTAAAGAAGCTATTCTTATTCTTGCGACTGACATGAGGTAAATTGCTGCCACAGGGAGAGACTGGTCCTGGAGGAAGTCGTGGCTCTGAGGGACCCCAAGGGGCACGTGGTGAGCCGGGTAACCCCGGACCTGCAGGTGCCGCTGGCCCATCTGTGAGTAAAAGACTCGGACTTTCTTTAGGGAAAACATCATTTTACATATATATATCTTTCAATTATAATGACCTGTGTTTCTTTTTCTCTGCAGGGCAACTCTGGTAGTGATGGGGCCCCAGGCTCCAAGGGTGCTCCTGTAAGTGTCTCTCATGATTCTTTGTTTTGTATAACTTTTCCTACAGTTTAATGACAGATGAATAACATGTGCTACTGGTTTGATGGCTCCTGTAGGGTGCTTCTGGTATTGCTGGTGCTCCTGGTTTCCCTGGACCCCGCGGTCCCCCTGGACCCCAAGGCACTGCTGGTGGACCCGGTCCTAAGGGTAACAATGTAAGTAGATTTTATCCTTTGCTACAACAGAATTTCCCAGATAAAATTGCTTGGCTTTGATTAGCTTTATTTGTTGTACAGGCAGTTGCTGGGTTAACAATGTCTGACTTATGGGCAACTTGTACTTAAGATCAGACTGCCATAAAGCCTATTGTATTAAAAATTTGGGCTAAATATGATGGTTCATAATAATGAAGGCACAATACTTTGAGATGCTCAGGAAAACATTATGTGACTTCAACAGCTACTTTTTAAAAACTGTATTATTATTATTATTATTATTATGATTAGTGTTTTGACTTACCTACTGTAGAAATTCAACAGACTTAGGGAAGAGATCTCTTTCATAACCTGAGGACTGCCTATAAATAATCACTGACCTTCCAACATGTACAGTAAGCAACCGCATAACAGCAAGGAAGTGATTTATTTAAATTCGCTTTGTGTTTCACCCAACAGGGTGAAGTAGGTGCCACTGGATCCAAAGGAGAGCCCGGTGCCAAGGGAGAGTCGGTGAGTTTGCCTGGCATACTACTGGCATACTACTGGCATACTACTGGCATACTACTGGCATACACGGCATTTTAGCTTCCCGACTGTAACCGCTCCGTTAAACACGGCCCCTTCTCACTTCAATAATATTGCTTTTAATTTAAGACATATTACTTTTCGCAATTCTTCTTCCATGCTTACTGACACGTTCACACTCACTTTGTTTTCCCAGTTGAACGTTGCACAGGAAGGAGCTGCAAATGAATATGCATGTTACAATTACTCTTCATCGCACTCAGGGTCCTGTAGGCATTCAGGGACTACCTGGTCCTGCTGGAGAGGAGGGCAAGAGAGGTGGTCGCGGTGAGCCTGGCGGTGCGGGACCTCGTGGAGCCCCTGGAGAACGCGTATGTTAACTTTTCTTGAAGATCCCATAATCTTCTCCAGTGAGTGCAACACCTGAAGGCACTGTTTTTAAAATAGTATTTTTTTTTTTTTTTTTAAATGATCACTACCAGAAAATTCAAAACATTAATATTTAGCATGTGGTTAGCATTGTTGACTCACAATTCTGGAACCTGGGTTTGAGTCTCCACCGGGAGTCTGTGTGTGGAGTTTGCTTGCTCCGTGTCACCATGGGGTTTCCTCTGGTGGGGTTTCCCCCACAGTCCAAAACCATGCTGAGGCTGATTGGAGTTACCATATTGCCCACAGGTGTGAGTGAATGGTGTGTGAGTGTGTGTGTGTGTGTTTGTGTGTGTGAGTGAATGGTGTGTGGGTGTGCCCTGTGATGGGTTGGCACCCAATCCTGGGTTGTTCCCTGCCTTGCACCCATAGGCTTCTGACCCCCTGTGACCCTAAATAGGACAAGCAGTTTCAGAAGATGGATGGATAATATTTAGAGCACATTTGCTTTGTGCTGCCAAGAGCACCATTTTGGTCAAATGTGATATGACCTTTGTTTTGTATATAACCAATATTACCGTGCTGTGGAGACAAACCTAGTGCCTGTAACAGGACTGAATGATCAGAATAGTATGGAGTGTCCACAATGTGTGAATGTGTGTGCTTCTCCTCAAACCCCACAGGGAGCACCTGGTGGCCGCGGTTTCCCTGGTTCTGATGGACCTGCTGGCCCCAAGGTAGGTTGCAGCCCAGCTCGTCTTATTTCCTACCCCACACTGGTTTGCAAGCACTTCCTAGCGTAGAATCAAGTAGATTGCATATAATGAATAAAACATCTGCTGACATTTAGGTTTATAGATCAGCTTCTACATGTGGAGAGGGTTATCATTCACCAGATGCATGGAAACAGCACACATTGGTGTGCTAGAAGATTCTATCCTTGGGGTAAAAGGGGAGGAGGATATTTCACAGGTAGCTACAGCCATTGCAGTAGAACTTAGCTCACCAATCTGTTTCCTGTGTGCTCCAGGGCGGCCCTGGCGAGCGCGGTTCTGTTGGATCAGTCGGTCCCCAGGGAGCTTCCGGTGAGCCCGGTCGCCCCGGTGAGCCCGGTATGCCTGGATCCAAGGTGAGTTTCCACAGTCTGTCTGTCTGAAGTTTGCTGTCATCCTGCACTCAATCATGCTTCACCAAAGAATTGTTATTCTCTCCAACTACACATGTATGCTGGGGTTAGGCATATGTAGCTGCTGTAGGACGTCTATGACATTCAAGTGCCAAGGGAAGGTGACAGTGAACTACAGAACAGTAGTCCTGATGTATGCTCTTGTACTCCTACTTTAGGGTATGACTGGCAGCCCTGGCAGCCCTGGGCCTGATGGCAAGGCCGGCCCTTCTGTGAGTATTGAACCAGACGATTCATCTCTTGGCAAATTTGACATAGACTGCTATAGACTTAGGAGTGAAATGCTGGCTAAATACTTACACATCCCGTTTAAATGGCAGGGTTCTCCTGGACAAGATGGCCGCAGCGGACCTCCCGGCCCAGCTGGAGCCCGAGGTCAGCCCGGTGTCATGGGATTCCCTGGACCCAAAGGAGCTGCTGTGAGCATCATATGTTCTCCCCAGTTTGGCAGACAAATTTTTAAATGTCATCAGAGGACCTTGTTAAAAAAAGATGGCGTTGGCAATATGGATGATGCTGAGTGTGACAGCAAATGATGGACGGATTTCCGTTCTCCCTCCTCCAGGGCGAGGCTGGCAAGTCTGGTGAGAGAGGTGTTGCAGGACCTCCTGGTGCTATTGTAAGTAGGCCACCTCACCTGCACAGTGGCACTCGCTCACACGATACAAAGCATTTAGTCTGTGTATTACTGTGATCATTTCTATGTCACATATCCTCCTGAGGCACCAGGAAAAAAGTGTCCTTCAATTTCAGGTTATTTGTCTTTGGAGGAAATAAGACATCTTACAATTTAGATTTTTTTTCAAATTTATTTTTATTTTTAACTTCACAGCATGTCCTCTTTAGTGTACAACAGGAATAAATACGTTTCCCAACATCAGTGAAAAAATAGATGCAAAAATAAAATGTCCACTACAATGGACATAAATGAATGGGTGGGGTCTCGGGTGGATATGAAGAATGTGTATTTATATTAGGAGTCCTTGGTAATATAATGTGTGTCCGTGCAGGGTGCCCCCGGCAAAGATGGTGATGTTGGTGGCCCTGGACCCTCTGGCCCTGCTGTAAGTCACATTCATACATTCATTCGTACACCAATTCATTGTATCTCATTCATACACTAATGGTGCCCAGTGTGTTACTGTTTATTTTTAATGAGTAATAATTTGTCATAGGGACCTGCTGGAGACAGAGGCGAACAGGGACCCGTTGGTTCTCCTGGATTCCAGGTAAGAATCTCAATTTCATAAACTGATAAACTGAGAAATATTCATTTTCTATCAATATATGAATGTACTTATATCAGTGTTGTTTCTACATGAAATATTTATACTGATATATTGCGCGTCACAGGGACTTCCTGGACCCCAAGGTGCTACTGGTGAGCCTGGCAAGGGCGGTGAACAGGTAAGTGCAGTGGTTTCAGTGCCAGTGATCAGCAGTTAATTCCTGTGTCCAAAGAACGCAGTTCCACCGCGTCACTTCTCTCTTAATCTTGAAAAACTAGGGAGATGTCGATTTTTTATCCCTTTAAAAAAATTGTTTTTACAAGTATCACTAAAAACCAAGCCATCTTATTAATAGTTGCACAAAGTACTATTGTTTTGTTGAAATATTGTTACAAATGGTTTACCATGCAGAGTAAATAAACTTAAGACTATCCTGAGATAGCTGCAGTACTTACATAAAGCACATTCTTCACTGGATCTTTACGTTTATCACTGAAAACCAAGCCCTCTTATTAACAATTGCACAAAGTACTGATTTCTTATTCAAATATTGTTCGAAATAGTTTATTATGTAGAATAAATAAACTTTCCTGATAGCACACATATGTCTGCCTGACGTACACAAGTTACATCTAAACGATGTAATACTGAACTTGTTTGCTAATTGCGAGGGCAGTTTCTGATCTGCAGCCAACACCAACCTAATCGCGACTTGTTCTTGATCTTCCCACGATGAATTTACATTCCTTACTAGACATGGCGTATCAGGCAGCATAAATACATTGCGAGAAGATCTCAAACAGGTCGTAATCACTGGGTGTGACATATTTAGGAATTTGCTGACGTTATAGATCAAAAAGCAGTAACCTACTCTTACCAAAATTGATAGCAGACAATTAAATCTATTCTCATGCAGTACCCTGTCGTGTCATTAACTTGTGCCAATTGTTTTATTACAAAGGGAGGTCCCGGGGAAGTTGGTGGCCCAGGACCCTCTGGATCTAGGGTAAGTGTTCGGCTGAGTATCACCATCTGCATGAGCATCTCAGAATTACACTGGAACAGTTTTGCCCTCCTCGGGATAACCTGAGACAACACACCCTATACTCATAATCCTTCTTTTCCCCATCCAGGGTGAGAGAGGTTTCCCTGGTGAGCGTGGTGCCCCTGGTGCTGTCGGCCCTGGTGGTCCTCGTGGATCTCCTGGCCCCTCTGGCAATGATGGTGCAAAGGTGAGAGCAGCCAATCATGATCTTGGTTGGTTAACACTTGTGTTAATGTCTCACAAATATATGTATGTATTGAAAAGAAACAGGCTGAGTAAATACAAACTAATATGCACTTAAAATGAGTTTAAGGCATATATTAAACTATTATATTAAACAACAGCATCACCAAGTGTCCACCATTTATCCATATTTGGCAACCACCTTTTCTCTTATTTTACAAAGTATACATCCACCGTACATTAAAAAAAGGAAAGTATACACAGACCATATATATACAGACTCTCCCCAGGTTACAGTGGGGTTGTGTTCCAGTAAACCCTCTGTAAGGCGTAAATGCATTTTCATAAAGTACACCTAACCTAACAAAGATCATAGCCTAGCCTAGCCTACCTTAAACATGATTAGAACACTTAATTTAGCCTGCATCTGGGCAAAATCATTAACACAAAGCCTATTTTATAATTAAGTGTTAAATATCTCAAGTGTATTGAATAATGTACTGAAAGTGAAAAACATTTACCCATCATAAAGTCAAAATATCGTAGCACAGATCATCGTAACCCAGGGAGTGTGTGTTTGTGTGTGTGGTCTAGGTATATACTACGTTGTGAGGTCTTTTTTTTCGGTCCCCACAAGGGGACATTAAATTTTATAAAAATCTGTGGTTGCAATCAAAATACTAAAAATGCCAAATGGTTAGGGTTAGGGCTGGGTAGGAGTTAAGTTTGTCACTGCATTGTTGGGATTAGGGTTCTGCCCATAGAAATGTCCCCACAAAGATATGAGTACAGGTCTGTGTGTGTGTGTGTGTGTGTGTGCGTGTGTGTCTGTGTCTGTGTCTGCCTGTGTACGCATATATATGAATTGCTTGGGCTGTCTAGCTGTACAACATATCTTAACCCCTCCGTCTCTCCACTCTAGGGTGAGGCCGGTGCTGCTGGTGCCCCCGGTGGTCAGGGGGGCCCAGGTCTCCAGGGGATGCCCGGTGAGCGTGGTGCTGCAGGACTTCCAGGCCTCAAGGGTGACAGAGTGAGTATCGACCCACCTACAAAACTGAGAGGTCCAATCTGATCTCTACTAAACTAACGGGGGGCTCTGATTGGACTCGGACTGCATGTTTGGGAGATGTATATGAAATCTGATACGTAGGTGTCCTTCATATAATACTTATTGATAGGAAATATTTTAACAGGGCACTTCCTACTGTAGGCGTGCCCATCTGAGTGTGTGTCCCAGTGCTGATGCACTCCAACTTCTCCCGTAGGGTGATGGTGGTCCCAAGGGTGGTGATGGTTCTCCTGGAAAAGATGGCATTCGTGGTATGACTGGTCCCATTGGTCCTCCTGGCCCTGCTGGTTCCCCAGGCGAGAGGGTAAGTCTAGAGGGGAAAAGTATCGAACTTGAAATTCCATTGAAAAACACCCTCTGAAGCACTAAAGATTATGATGTTCACAGTTTATAATATTACAAAATATTACTTGGGTTGAAAGGCCTCTTCAGATGAATTCATGCAGCATTCTCTGATTCTGCATCCAGGGTGAAGGTGGACCTGTTGGTCCCTCTGGACCTACTGGTAGTCGTGGTGCCCCTGTAAGTGTCTCTACCCGTCCTGCACATGCACCTTTAAGCGCTACTAAAATCTGACAAAATGAAGTCAGTGCTTGTAACTCTGGAACTGATGTACAGAGAAAAGTAAATCGATAACTGAAACCTCCTCTTTTTTTCCAGGGAGATCGTGGAGAGACTGGTCTGCCTGGACCTGCTGGATTTGCAGGACCTGCTGTGAGTATGACCTGAAAACCCGTGACAAAACAAAAGAACCTCTTTTGACATATATGAATTTTGTGCTGAGATTACCTCATGGGCCAACAGCTCCTATAGTATGTGTGAACGGCAAAGGTGGGCAGTGGCGTCCTGCTGGTTAGGGACGTGTGCTTATGAGTGAAAGGTTGCTGGTTCAAAACCCTGCCCAGTTAGGTACCATTCAGGTATCCTGAGCAAGATACTGCCTCTAACTGCCAATCCCTGGGTATTAAATAATAGCTGCCCACTGCTATGTCACATATGGGTTAAATGCAGAGGACACATTTCATGGTTGTGGCGTGTCAACAATGAGAATTATTCACAGATGTGAAGCCCTCATAGCAGTTCCTAGTGTAAATATAAGTGATTTGAATAAAAAAAAAACATATAACACAACAAAGGCATATTTGGACTAATGTATCAAAAACTGTTTTGTCTAGCTTGTCATGAACATTGCTCCTCTCCCTCACTATAGGGTGCTGATGGTCAGCCTGGCCCTACTGGTTCCAGTGGTGACACTGGTCCTAAGGGTGATTCTGGTCCCCCAGGCAACGCTGGACCTGTTGGTGGCCCTGGACCTCAGGTAACTCCCGACTAGTGCTTCCCCCCAGTGTACTCTAAAAAATGACCCCCATCAGACACATTAAACATGGTTACCTATTTTGATCTCAAATTACCAGATTGGTAATGATTGTATTTTATCAGTAGCATCAGCCAATGTCCTTGTAGAACATGCTTTTACTGTGATTTTTTAAACTTATTGATTGGAGAAAAACTGATACAGGTGTCCAGTAAATAAAAAACACCAGTTTTATCCAACAGGAAGATTGTATTTCAATGTATCAATGAAGGTATCTTTCTGCATCCAAAAGCAAACTATGTATTTTCATCATGTGCCTGTTGAGTGAGGTATGAATGTCTTCTCTACAGGGTCCTGCTGGTTCCACTGGACCTAAAGGTGCTCGTGGTGCTGCTGGACCTCCTGTACGTACCAATGTTCCATCTTAACAAATGTTACATACATACATTTAATTTATACTTAAACTAAATTGGCTAATGAGTATAGAAACTTTATAAATATGTTTTGAAGAAGTGTGAAATTTGGACTGAAATTAACGGACATATTAATTTTTATTAATTGGGACATTTCAAACATCAAACTGCAGTATGATAACGCCAGTGATTTTGCTGTGTGTAGGGTGCTGCTGGATTCCCTGGTGCTGCTGGTAGAGTTGGACCCCCAGGCCCTGCCGTAAGTTACCTGCCGTTCCTAAGGCACCATTGGAGGAATCACATCTTTCTTTCATGTTGGCTAATCCATCCATCCATCCATCCATCCATCTAATGTTCGATAATGCAAGGCAGAGCCTGGCTTTAAACCTTTCTCAGCCCTTTTACCTCAATCATTGACACACATGTTCAACAAGTAGAAGCTATTTAGATATCATGCAAATATACTTTAAGATTCAATATGCACATTCAGCATTTTACTGAGCAGTGGAACTACGCAGAATTTTTTGTAAGGTCTTCTATCATTTTTATACAATACTTTGCAGTTCCATGTAATTCCTAATGCATGGCTCTCAGATCAATACATGCCACTATGCTGTCTCAGTAGTATTTGGTAATAGTTGTGTTATAGGGTAAGTCATTCTGCACTGCCTGTCTCTTTCATCTCAGGGTAATGGTGGCCCTCCTGGACCCCCAGGACCTTCCGGAAAAGAAGGACAGAAAGGTCCTCGTGGTGAGACTGGACCTGCTGGCCGTCCCGGTGAGTCTGGAGCTGCCGGATCTTCAGGACCCAGTGGAGAGAAAGGCTCCCCTGGATCTGATGGCCCCTCTGTGAGTAATAAGTATATTACATGCAGTGAAAATTGATCTGGAGACAGAGGAAGATACAGAAGGTGCAGGAGACAGAATTAACCTGTGTCTGGTCTCGTCTCCTCCAGGGTCCTCCTGGTATTCCTGGGCCTTCTGGTATTGCTGGTCAGCGTGGTGTTGTTGGTCTGCCTGGACAGAGAGGCGAGCGCGGCTTCCCCGGTCTCCCTGGCCCACTGGTACGTGAAGCTGCACAGTTCTGGAGAGACACACTGTCCCCCGGAGAGTTATACACGCAGTGCTGGTGGTGTCAAGTGACGTTCACTCAGAAACCAGTCATTTAGAAAAAGCTGCACTCTTCACCCAGAAAGCTGTCGCACAGCTTTTGTCCGGTACTGCCAGGTTAACATTCATACTCATTTTTGACGCCCCTCAAAATCACTGTACAACACTGTATGGAACAACTGATGCTGAAGGGTTTGCATATGTTAGCATTTTACGTTACTTGTGGATTAATGGATGTGCAACAGATTTCAGCAACTTAAAGCTTGGAGTGACTGTATGTAAGCATGATACACGATGTCACAGGTTACTTAATAACACAAAAGCAGGGAGTTCTCTTTGCTGCTGGCCAATCGGCTTCACCTCACACAACATCAGATCCAAAAGGTTTTGTTTAGGCTGATTATGGTAGTTTATGAGCAAAGATCTGCGTTACATTATAGGAGTATAAGAGACACTGAACAATGTCTTTTTGCAATAGATTGTGTTCTTCAATTCAATTCAATTTTATTTATATGAGATGAAGGTCAGGCTGCTATGTCAAGAGGACTGGATGGGAACCACAATGATTTTATTAAGCCATTATAAGATAGTAAAGAAATATCTGAATACAAAAAAACTCCTGATTATTTATTTAGAACCTATGCATTTTATTATTTTTGTTGCCTTTAAAAATATGTTCCATTATAACCCCGACTCTCAGTAGGATAAGCTAACTGAAGATGGATGGTTATTATACATTTCATATTATTCCAGTTTGTTTTAGTTTGTGAAAGCAGTAGTGTTCCTCTCTGATGACAGGCATGTTTTGTGTGCTGCAGGGAGAGCCTGGAAAGCAGGGATCTGGTGGCCCTGTTGGTGAGCGTGGACCTCCTGGCCCCATGGGACCTCCTGGACTGAGTGGTGCTCCTGGCGAGCCTGGCCGTGAGGTGAGGGACACCCCTCTCAAATCATGTCGTTGGCTGAATCATATGTCACAGTCAATTTTGATGCCAGACTATATACATAAGGATGTGAAAGGGTATATACAAAAGCATACAAAAGGCTATGTATATAAGGATGTGAAAGGCTATATACATAAGGATGTGAAAGGGTATATACATAAGGATGTGAAAGACTATATACATAAGAATGTAAAAGGCTATATACATAAGGATGTGAAAGGGTATATACATAAGGATGTGAAAGACTATATACATAAGAATGTAAAAGGCTATATACATAAGGATGTAAAAGACTACATACATAAGGATGTGAAAGGCTATATACATAAGGATGTGAAAGGGTATATACATAAGGGTGTGAAAGGGTATATATGAGTTATATATGAGGTGAGCATAATGCTAAAAGATAAAAGCTGGCTACACCATTAGAGCTTTGCATCATCTCTCATCTCAGTGCATTTTATTACATTAAATTAATAACTGCTCCTCCTCCAGGGTTCTCCTGGTAACGAGGGTTCTTCTGGTCGGGATGGACCTCCTGGCCCCAAGGTAAGCCTGAACTTTCCCTGGAAAATGCTTCTATCTACCCTGCTCTGTTTCCACAGTGAGCGTAGTTTGTGCTTGTGTACTTTACTCCCTCTGTCTTATTTTTTCTCGAATGGAGTTTTTTAACTTCGATTGTCGTGACCTGCAGGGTTTCATACCTTCTCATGTCCTTCTCCTCCCCCAGTGGCACTAACCCCACTGTCACTCTCTCTCTTAGGGTGACCGAGGTGAGAATGGTCCTTCTGGTGCTCCTGGTGCCCCTGGAGCTCCTGGTGCCCCTGGTCCCCTCGGTCCATCTGGAAAGACTGGTGACCGCGGAGAGGCTGTAAGTACGAGGAGTAGGAGGGGATTCTGCTATGTGTGATACTGCTCCCTTACCTCCACTGAAAACACATTCCTATCAATGCTATATACAAAAAATTGACATTATAGGCCAAGCTGCAATTGCTTAAACCATGTCAGAAATTAAATGTATATCAAGCTGAGGGTATAATATTATGGAATGACTATTATACATAGAATGTATTGTACTTCTTCTAAATGAAGTCTGTTTTACAATGCACACCTTTAGCCATTAGCATGATAACCATTCTGTGATGGAAATAGGTCTGTTTTGTTGCATGACCACATGTATTTCCCTATGTTTCAGGGCCCTGCTGGTCCCGCTGGTGTCGCTGGTGTCGCCGGAGTCCGTGGCCCTTCCGTAAGTAGGCCTTCGCACGTTAAACATGCGAAATCATGCATTTCACTCGGGAAGAAACGCAAGCCAGAAGGCTGATTTGTCTTCCTTGTGCAGGGCCCCGCCGGTGCCAGAGGTGACAAGGGTGAGACGGGAGAAGCTGGTGAGAGAGGCATGAAGGGACACAGAGGCTTCACTGGTCTGCAGGGCATGCCCGGACCCCCAGTGAGTAAACATGCAGCCTGCTGACCTGCACACCCTTACATATAAGTCATCCTCCCATCACTGCTTTGATATTTTATTCAATCTGAACTGATACCGTTTATATATTTAACTGTATCTTTAACTGATAAGTCATGTTTAACTGCACCAAAAGAAATTCCTTGTACTTTTTGTACTTGCCGAATAAAGATTCTGATTCTGAAATTAAGTACTGTGATCCCAAAACTCCAGCTTCCATATATTTACATGTACAATATCCTTTTTACTTATAAAGTCCTCTTCATGTCGGATGTTCCTTCACATAGGGTCCTTCTGGCGAGCAAGGACCTGCTGGACCTTCTGGCTCTGCTGGCCCTAGAGTAAGTAGCAACATTTCCTTGATGTCTGCAAACTTATGGATGTGCTTCTGCAGTCAAGTACTAGTAATATAGCAATATAAAGTGAAAATATTTTGCTAAATATTTTTTATTAAACAAATATATCTGCATACTTCCATGAAGAAATTGGTAGTTACCTATACATTGTTTTCTCATATTCGTAATCTTCCACTACAGTAGTGCTTCCACTAATGCATGGCCTAACTTTTAACATTTTTCTCCCCAATCCAGGGACCTTCTGGCAGTTCTGGTTCCGCTGGTAAAGATGGCCCTGGAGGTCTGCCCGGGCCTAGTGGACCACCTGGACCCCGTGGTCGTAATGGAGAATTGGGACCTGCTGTAGGTTTTGCACACTGAAACATAAAACAACTTGGATCTTATATTATATGAGAGTCATAGGATCATACTTCTCTATTCCTTTTATCTTTCCTTTTCTCAACAAGGGTCCTCCTGGACCTCCCGGACCCCCAGGACCTCCTGGAGCCCCCGGTGGTGGATTCGAAATTTCCCTGCCCTACATGCCTGCCCAGGAGAAGGCACCTGATCCCTACAGAGCTGGCTACAGAGCTGATGATGCCAACATGATGCGTGACCGCGACCTGGAGGTTGACACTACCCTCAAGACCATGAGCCAGCAGATCGAGAACATCCGCAGCCCACAGGGCACAAAGAAGAACCCTGCCCGCAGCTGCCGGGACCTGAAGATGTGCCACCCTGACTGGAAGAGCGGTTAGTTGCCACGCAGTGCTGAAATGGGTCAATTCCATAGACTCATGCTTTTATACACAGCTCTTGTGTATCTTTTGGCCTCACATTCAGTTCCATCATATCACCCCTCTGCAGGAGAGTATTGGATTGACCCCAACCAGGGATGCACTCTGGATGCCATCAAGGTGTACTGCAACCTTGAGACTGGCCAGACATGTGTCTACCCAACTCAGCCTGACATTCCCAAGAAGACCTGGTACACAAGCAAGAACACCAAAGAGAAGAAGCACGTCTGGTTTGGCGAGGCCATGACTGATGGTTTCCAGGTGAGAGAACAGAAAATACCGCTAGTTATCGCTGTGTATTTAACTCAGTGTGCTGCTCATGCACCCACAATGATTGTAGGGAAGCTAGATTTTATTTGTGGGATAGACAGGATAGCATGTATCCTTTTGTGCACTGTTTTCTAGCACATTCTGTGTTTGTTTATAGCAGTGTTTCCCAACCTGGCCCTTGGGGACCCACAGACGGTCCATGTTTTTGCTCCCTCCGAACTCCCTGCCAGAGCAAGGAAGGAGCAACAACATGGACCGTCTGTGGCTCCCCGCAGACTGGTTTGGGAAACACTGGTTTATAGTGCAGAGGAATCCTTAAGGTAAACCAATGATTTCTTGGAATGCTAACAGTGCCAACTCTCTCAGTTCCAGTATGGCAGTGAGGGCTCTGACTCAGATGACGTCAACATCCAGCTGACTTTCATGCGCCTGATGTCCAACGAAGCCTCCCAGAACCTCACATACCACTGCAAGAACAGCATTGCCTACATGGACCAGCAGGCCGGCAACCTGAAGAAGGCCCTGCTCCTGCAAGGATCTAACGAGATCGAGATCAGAGCCGAGGGCAACAGCCGCTTCACCTACAGCGTCAGCGAGGATGGCTGCACGGTGAGTCCTCCACTCTACTTTCCCACTTCCAAGGCTCCCTCTAGGGCCTGGAGGGGGATAGATGCTGTGAAAAATAAACATAAGCCCCGTCACATTTGGTCAATTTCACAGGCTGATTCAGGAAGGTGTACAAAAGTTGACAATTGAGTTAAATAGACACTAGGAAATCAACAACTATAAAGTGACTATAAAATGACTTCACTTTAGTGTAGTAGTATAAAAACCATGTCATATGCAGAAGATTATGTTACAGTGCAGTAGTAGGGAAGGTGAAATGAAGAGTGGATGATGATTAAAATGTTATGCCAACCTTGCGAAAAATCTGATGTTCATTCTATTGTCTTCTCCTTTATCACAGTCACATACTGGCGCTTGGGGCAAGACAGTCATTGAGTACAAGACAACAAAAACATCACGCTTGCCCATCATTGACATCGCTCCTATGGACGTTGGTGCACCCAATCAGGAATTTGGCATTGAAGTTGGCCCAGTCTGCTTCTTGTAAAAATGAAATCTGGACTTGAAATTGTTGTTTTTCTAGCAGTCATCTCTCTAAACTCTTTTTCTATGCATTAAAAAAAAAACCTAAAATGTCATTCGGCTGAAAACGGTCCACTTGCTTAAAACTACAGTCCTGAAGACGGTGTTTGTGTCTTGTCAACTTCTAAAACCATTTTTGGGACCACTACTTTTATCAAGCAACATCAAGGGACACTTTAAAAAAATCTTTTGTTTCACTGGCAACAGGAAAATAATTTGTAAGTGTAAAATCCCCCTGGAGTATACAAGGAAAGCAAACATAATGAAATACAGGTGACTTTTTTACCATGTTTTTTTGTTTTTGTTTTTTTTTTTACTGATGCGGAAGGACAATGACAAAAACAAACGAATGCTATGTACCATTTCTGGTGTTTAATAAATTTGAAAAACAACAGTTAAGTGTCTTGTTGTTCTAACCACAAGGGAAACAGCCACTGGAGAGCCATTGTTCTTAAAAGTCACCGAAAAAATGTTAGAGACAGGGGTTAATTTTTAAATCTTATGGCTACCTCAGAAAAGATATCCAGATTGTTCTGAAACACCAGGAAAGGTTTGACACAAAACGTATGTTTTGAAAAGCAAGTGGCCGCTGTGAAAGGTGCTATTTTTTTTCAGGAGGTCCTATCAATGGTGTACAATGCAAGATCTACTATTGTAGTTTTATATTATTGTCACTGATGCTTGTAGGATCTTTGGTGCTACAGTTCAAAATAAATAAAATCTCTTGCTTGTCAGTGGAGCAAAACTGGTTGTAATTCTTTTTAAAGTGTTGTTTGAGAAGCTCTACAGCGGAGTTCACCAGTGAGAGTACATTACTGTAGATATGTTCCACGCAATCCTGTCTGATGTAGATTAAGCATGTGGATTTGTTTTAAGTTTTGTTGCAGTTTTTTTTTCCAAGTTCTTGTCACCTACATTTTCCCTTGATTTTCATGTTTTCCGGTCGTCAGCCCCCAGCCCATCCTGTTGTCATGCTGTTGCTTCTGCAGTACACCTCTTTCAAGAGTTTGTTTTTGTTTGTTCGTTCTTTTTCTTTTCAGCAAAAGGATTTTTTGTTTTTTAAATGAAAACAAGGAAAAATGGAAAAGATTTTAAAAAATCATCAAAGAAGCAGACACATTCTGGGGGTTCAACACAAGAAGATCTGTACCTATTTTGTATATGTATAATAATTGGAGATGTTTTTAATTATTTTGGATGCTGAAATAAAGCATGTTAAGTGGTCTACCTTACATCTGTGGCATCTTGAATTTCTCACTATATCTCTCAGTGGAGCACAGATTGTACAATACCTAGAACTGCATTAATGCAATCTTCAGAAAAACTGCCCTGAACGCTTGTCTAACCTTGGATCAGCACAACAACACCTGAGCGCCGACATCTGATTTTGTTGTGCTCGGTGGGCATCAGGGACGAAGCATTTTTGGATGCAAAAACTTATTTTAAACTTATCTGAAACAATAGCATATTTATATATAAAACTTTCTGTTTCATACCTTGGCAGCTAGATTGTAATTTGCAACCCTTTGTAAACAATATTGCCTGAATTACAATGTTACAGTATAAGCATCTGTATGTGTATATATATATATATATATATATATACACACATATATATATATGTGTGTATGTGTGATACCTTAACACTTGCAAAATCAATGAAAGAGTCCTGCATGGATTAATGAAACTGCTGTGTATTTAATAACCTATCAGCACTGGAATCTGGATCAGACACATTTAATCAAGTGGCAGAAGGCAGAAAGCCATTGGTGTATGACAAACAGATGTCGATCCTCACATATATTCTCAGAAATAGCTTTTCCAGTTAGCGTTGCAGTGACTCTGGCCTATGGAAGTTTACGATGCCGTGCTCCCCGAACGAGACGGCGGCCTCTCACAGGGCACAGAAACATCCCTCAAAGTGACCTGCCCAGTTAAACAGCTGGTCTTTGGTGCACAGAGGCAGACTGGGGCATTTGTAGGAGACCCTGCCAGAGGCAGGGAAGATGCTTAATGCTGAGACGAACAGAAGGGGAATGTAAGCGCAGTACTTGTGATAAGGGAAAAAAAACCGGATGATGCCAGTAAAAGTAATTTGACCCAATCACAACATTACACGTTAATTAGGAAAATTAATGTGGCATGCATTTCCACACAAATTACACCCATTTTCTCTAATTAAATGCAAACAGGACTGACATCTGAAGAAGGGTGAGCCCTACTGCCTCCTGGGATAAACTGCACGTGCATTGTAACCCAGTTCTGGAAAAGCTATTGAGATGAAGATGAATGGATACATTTTACAAACAGTTAAAAGTCTTAGTCAGCTATCCATCGGTTACACTATATAACTAAATAGCCATAACGGAAATGGGTTAGTGTTGTGAATACTACAGTTCAGTTCAGTTGTAACACGAATTTTATTGTTACTGATGAACAAATGAAATTTTGTTTAATTAATTAATTAAATTAGTACTTTAAAGATAAATCTTTACACCTGTTTAAAAAACCCATCTAAAAATCTGCCAAAGACAAAGCCAATGGCATTAACTACAGCAAGGAGAGTGAAAATACTGAATATGTAAGTTTCTTCGCGATTTTTAATTCATTTATATGTTTTTTATTGTTATTACAAACAGCCCTTAGATCCCCACTGCGACAGTGTTTGAAGGATTTATGGAAATTAGTGTCTGGCTCAGTTTCTCATTCAAATAATAAATGTCTTCAAGACACAATCACCATAACACGCAGTATGAGCTTAAAAGTACCACACATTTATCCGTACAAAATTGATTATAATAGGCTATTCAAACGACTACAATAAGATTCCACGCTTATACCAATAAATACGTCACATCTGTGACACTAACAACTCTTTCTAGGCACTGCATCTGCATGCAATTCGCGTTAAAAATAAAGTCCGTTTTCAAAATTAAAACAAATCTGGAAAAGCACTTAAGTGCCCATTCTAAGCACGCTGCTAAATCCAGTTATTTTTTGACAAAAAAATAACAAACAAAATCCTATACACAGCCGAAATAAATGGGGGGTTTTGTAATTTAGATTTTGTTATGTATCTTTAGGGAATCGGGGGTGGGGGCTTGTTTAAAACCATCAGCGCACGTTACCCCAGCTTACACCTTGGCGGCGGCCGCGCGGTGCCCAGCAGCTCATAGACGACCTCTGTCCACCTGGTGATGTCGTCTGCCTGATATCCTGCAGAAATAAGCGCAACGCCGAGGGTCCTCAAACGCCCGAGCCCAAGCGCCTGGGCTGAGAGCGGGACTCATGCCTTGCTCCATCCGCGTACTTCACTTTTTACAGCATAAAATGCAATTTAACGAGTGGATCGTCGCCGACCTTGCTGCTTGGCGTTTTACTACTTTGGACAGAAAGGATACCATTCCGGGCTGTCTACTGTCTTTTCCCTGAACCACTTGGATAAGGATTTTCCTATATTTTGCATTTATGACCAAGATAACTTTATGTATATCATATATTAGAAATGTATAAGTTTAAATGCCCACATTTTATATATGTGTGTGAATTTATTTTATGCTTCTTAACTATTTTTATTACTACATTTAATAAGTCTGCGGTAAGTTAATAAGAAACTAATACGATTTTTTGTTTAACTAAGGTGGTTATCTGTAGTATTTGTACAGGTTAACAGGTGATTAACAGTGTATTCGTCACAATTAATTTATGCATTATGTAGATCTCAGTTTCAAAATCTGTAAATTATTAATTCCATTGCGTGAGCAAACCGGCAGGAGTGATTGATTGGACCTTTTTTAAGACCTACACGTATAACCCCGCTTCATTGGCTAATTGTTCTCTAGCCTCAAGCGCGTATTAATTGGTATGATTCACAAATAGTTGGATAACGACGCTTTTCATAATCGAAAAGTATTTTTGTTTCATGTGATTTTTTTCAGTGTAAAATGTATTTACGAATTTTAATTTTTAAAGCCGATATTTTAGCACCTCGAATTCAAAGTATTACATCGATTATTGATCATTGAAGAGATTTATCCTCATATAACCTATTGGACAAAGGCATGGTTACGCAGAATGCGCCTGGTCTTAATAAATTCATGGACTGTCGCCCCTATACTTTCAAAATGTTAAAAATAAGCTGGAGTATAAATTTTTATGCTTTGTTGTTGTATGTGACATTAGAAATTTCCAGCAAAATGTATGTTCGATATCCCTTTAAACCTTATTGTATCATACTATACTTTGCAACCAGGTATAAATTTAATCAATTAATTTAATGTACCACAGCAAAATTTTACTTTTAATCACAGAAATTAGATTTAATTGAAATGCTTGTGGCATTACACTAATGGAAAATAGCCTATCAATAAAAGTAGAAATTATTAACTAATATTAAACTATAATGTTTGTAATATCTGTTAAGATATATGATCACAAAACCAGCGGACAGAATAAGGAAGGTGTTTCGTAGTCTTCTGACTTCATCAAACCGGTTAATGTAGAAAAGCCAGATTCTGTGAAACCCAGGCGTCTTCTAATATATCGGTTACCTGAGGATAAAAAAAAAAAACCATTACAGTTCAACAATTACCAGTCAGAATGATGAGCTAGAAGTCTGTAAGTTTAAAAGTACTACACCCTCGCTAACTGACCAGTCCCGTACTGAATCAGCTTAGCAAACCTACCATTTTGCCTTGACCTCCTTCACGGGTCTTTCTAAAAGTTACCAATGTTGCCATCATCTGGATGAAGTTGGTATTGCAGCTTGTTCACAGCACACAAAGCTGAAAATCGAAATGGTTTAGGTGCAGTGTCCTGCGAAGTGAATAGGGCAGTCTTACCTGGAAGGTATATCTGTGTTTGGATCTCTGTGAAATGAAAGAGTAAGTTAGATAACATTAAATTTAGCATTGCCTAAGTTTGTGTAACAGTTAAAATATAACACACTAAAAATACAATTGGTTAAAAAACCAGAACAGAAAGTCTTAGCAAGGGATTGTTGAAAAAAAATATTGAGGCAGCAATAAATATATCATTATCTAGAATGATTTTGAAAGTAAGCTCCAACAAAATGTAGAATGCTGTACATACATCAGCTCAATAAGGCTGTTGATATTTTATATGTTATAGCTTTCTAGAGTTACCCGCTACTTAAATCACTTGACATATAAAAGTTTTGCACCTGATTTAACTTGGGAAAAAACATCAAGTTGCACCCATAACCATGTTCTATTTTTGGATTGTTTAGTAGTGTTTGACTAATCTAAATGCTCCTTTTCTGAGAGTCTCCTAATAACTTGCCTGACATAATTGTGCGAGTGGCTCTTTAAGGGCTTTGGGCTCCAGGGTCATGGGGGGGAGGGGAGCTTTAACACCGTTATAGTACCATAGAAACTCACTGCTGGGCCATGATGAGGGGGATGTGGGGGCTGTCTGCATGGAACTGCCTCTGGAGGGCGGGCATCCTCTCTCCTGTGCGGGCGTTGAACATGGGCAGGGTGGACTGGGGCCGGGAGGCATGGCGGCTGTCGGCCATGCCCCGGAGCTCATCTGAGTCGCTGTGGATGGTGCGATGGTGGTACAGCTGTATGCTGGGAGGGAGAGGCGGGATGTACCCCAGAGGGGCAAGGTTCAGGTGCAGAAAGTAAAAATCCAGACCAGGATTTTGTTTCAACCAACCAGTTGAGTATAAAGAGTCACATTCCTATAGAATATTCAACTGGTTGTTTGAAACAAAATCTAGGTCTGGATTTTTACTTTCTGCACCTGAACTTTCCACCCCTCATGTACCCAAAGACAGCAGGTGCACAGCAAGCACTTCCTCTCATTCTAAATGTCTGCTCTGCAGGAAGGATCATAATAAATTCAGCCTGGAATGCTGTTGCATGTATTTAACTAATTATACTGGGTATCTCATTTCAGATCACTTTGGGACCGTGGTAGATACTTTTTGCTGTTTGATTTGACATCAGAATATGAAATTATTTAGGTTCATGAACAAAGTTTTCACAGATGCAGAACCTGCGGTCAGATATACGCCTGCCTACTGGAGGCTGTGGTGTCTGTTTTGCATTCAGTAGTATGCAGCACCCGTTGTGTCTTTTGGCTGGTAGTAGCATTTGGAATCACACAGAGCATGACCACTATAAAACATGGCTGTGTCGAGCGGGTGGCACGATGAGGCAGAGATGTGCTTACTCAGCTGTCTTTGCATCCCGTTTGTCCCTGGGAAGAAAACGAAAGAAAATTATCACCTCAGCAGTCAGCAATGTTACACACTGCAGCAGAATATTTCGCTGTCTTTTGCACCATTGATGTAGGCTTTAAAACAAAGCTAATGAAGTCAGCTGAGTGGCTTTGCATTCATACACAGGAAGTGTTGAACGTCTGCTTAGCTTTGTATTGTTTTGCATTACGCTTCATACAGAGCTTGCATTGCATATATGTTTCACTCTAAGCTTTCTTCATGTTTTTTTTTTTGTGAGGTTAACGGCCGGTAACTCGAGGTATAAGCAGTTGAGAGGAGCTGCCAGACGTACACGCCTTCTCGCCGGCAGCACATGACGTACGCCAGGACGGCGCACAGCAGGACGATCAGCACAAGGGGGACGATCACCATCCCGATGTATGCCGGGAGGTAGTCATGGGTGGGAGGCGATTCGGGGGGGTCGTAGAATCCCTGAGCCTCCAGAATTTCAGAACCCCGGGTTGGTGCCGGGGGTGGGGGCGGGGGCTTGGACAGGTCGATCTGGAGAGAGCCAAGGAGAGTTTGGCGGACCAGGTACGTGCCAAGCACAAGATCAGTAACTTTTATAACTTTATGCCTTAAATATGCCGTTTTTGCTCAGATACATCTGTCTGGAACAGAGCCAAGCGAATTCTCTTGTGAGGGTCACAGTTTTTATAATTTTTTTTCCAAACGCAGTGTTATTGTTACTTTGAACATGTCATTTTATGACCTAAGGTGTAATTACTAATGATAACAACATAATTATATATTGATATTTACATACAGTAACGAGTGATAATCTGACTAAATTATATTATTGTCGTATACGCAGTTAGGGCTGGTGTTTCCGAAAGCAACACTGCAGCATCATCATGCATGTAGGGCCGCAGTGTGCACCATACCATGCAGCGGCACTGACCAGAGTGGTGTTGCACCATGTAATGCAGTTGCTGGGATCGGAGCACACTGTACAGCTAGTGGAGGCCTTTTCAGTAGCTCTGCATTGCTGCCGGTGCTCGGGACGTTCAGTCCGCAGCAGGCAATCTGAGAAGGGCTGCTCAGAGCCTAGCTTCACATACACCCTGAAAAAAGACATACCCCCCTTTTCCTGATTGCACTCAGATATAATTACAAAGAGAGATGAGTAGTAATTTAATGGTTACAGCTAGATGCCAGTTACAATTTATAGGTGCAATATTATAATTTCCAAATACAATGTAAAGAGTTTCCCTAGTTACACTACTGGCCAAAACCATACCAAAACCAACACATAATTTTTAGAGATTGCAGAACTTTATTCATCTGTTGCTCCAGTTATTTATTTAATCATCCAATGCATGATATTTGTAACATTCTTTGTTTATAAACATTACTACCAATATTTGTGTAGTAATTTTTAGGGCATACTGCCGAAAATTCTAGGTGTTTCTACAATTTTGGCCACTAGTGTAAATTGCTTTGTGAACACTTTCATTTACTTTAAAAGAGTTTATTCAATGTTACCGTAAGCTATTTGATTTTTAGCTTTCATCTTTTACGATTTTTTCCCCCTATATATTAAGATAAAGGAGCTAACAAAAGACATGAGTATTGAACGGGAAAGAGGTAACAAAACAAATATGCATTATAGTGGCACCATTATCTAGGTGTGACACTGCGAGGTTAAACATATTGTAGTATTATTAAGTGTTGTAACATTATCGCATTTTTGTGAGCATGACATTCTGACATCATTACATACATGTAACACTGGTGTATGCCAGTATGCTGCCCCTCTGACTTGCAAGCTTGGGAGGAAGTAAAACAACTGGTGGTGCTAATGTAGACCATCAGAATGTGCAAATGCGACAGATGGGTTGCCATGGAAACAGCACATATGCGCGGGGACAGCCGCTGCCTTTTGTCACAACCTGCCTGCACCACAAAGCCTGGAGACCAGACCACTGCTTTCCATTGCCTGTCCGGTTAGATTTCCCATATTTTTCCCCCACTGCGTATATACAGTATATATATATATATATATATATATATATATATATATATATATATATATATATATATATATATACAATTTTATATAATCTGAATAAAGAATACATGTGTATATGCATGCATATATCCAATCAATGTTACCATAAGGCTTTGACTCAACAGCAGTTTAACTAGATTAAGAGACCTACCTGTAATGCACGTCAATGAGCCTCTTTAAGCAAATTAAACTGCTGCTGAGTTTGAGTCCTGTGCTGAAGTGGAGTGAAAGTGTCCAGGCTGAGGAACCCCAATGTCTAAATGTACTCAGAAATGTGCTTTAAACATGAACAGTGTATGATTCTGCAGTGTCCGTTGCAGTGTCCGTTGCAGTGTTCGTTGCAGTGTTCGTTGCTTACCCCTCATAGTGGCCTGGCAGGGGGAGAGGCACTCTGCCCCCTCTCTCTATTGCAGAGCTGATATTGACAAAGGTCAGTCTGTGTGTCGCCCCCCACATCTTCTGAATGTCATTCTTTATATCATCCTGAACATCAGAGGACAGCACCTTCTCAATTTCCCTCAGGGGGATGTAGAATTCAGCTTGATATGGCATCTTCTTTCCTGAAGGGAAACTTATTATTACTGTCCCTTACAAGTAAACATGTCACGTTAGTTTGGCATAAAATCAAATGTAAAAAAGATCTTGCTGTACCTGGTGGTCCAACAGTTATCACCATCCTGTCTCGGAAGGTATCATAGCTCCGCTTGTTAATGACTGTGATCTGTCATGTAGATAAATCCAAAAATGTTTAATCCTAAATGCCTTGTGGAAAATAATGTTTACTGGATTATATACCTAAATCTTTAACATTTCTGCAATGAACTTGAGGGTCTGTTAACTGAAAGAAGATGCATTGTTTGCTGTAAAGCAACTGTCTAATAATGTCCTTATTTATAAATAGTAATTTCTACATGGTTGGTGTTTCGTGATCTCAACAGCACAAAAAAGAATGTCACTTTTATTCTTGGAATTTGTGCCGTTTGCTGAGCCCCATTTGACCTTTCTGTTGTAATAGATCCTACAGATTATTGATCATATGACCCTTAGGACATTCTTGTACTACAAACACTTTCTCCAAGGAAATTCCTGATAGCAGTGGAATAGGCAGTCCACTCGAGCAGGCACTGGGAATCAGTACCTCAATCACGTTCTTGCCTTGGTCCTCTTCCAAGGGGGTTCCGTACAGGAATCCATTATCCATTGGATGCCTCTGGGTGAACCGAAGCCAGTGGGGCAGGTCTGGGAAGTACTGCTTATTGCATTTGAATACCATGGGATCATCGTACACCCGGCCTTTTTTCCACATCAGATCGCACAGGAAATATGAATCCATAAGCCTCATATTCATTTGGATTCCATTAACATCAGATTTTGATTACTTTACTCTCACATTTAATTTTCACATCATTCTGCAACAGCACCACAGCCGGGTGACATCATAGGTATATCTTGGAGCGTTTAAAAAAGAATGAAAGACCAGCCAATGATGCTGACCCTACTTTACTTAGCTCATGACTCCATCTAGTGGAATGATTAATTATAGCAAATCATGAAAACAGCTGCTGCTGCAAACCGGGTACACCGCTGCTGGGGAACACCCTGCATGTTTATTGGCTACGATGTTTAAGCTCACATAGACAAATGAGCAATTGTTTACACAGCAATAATTTCTGGCTAGGCTAAATCTATTCTCTTTTTCCTAATTGCTAAATACTTATACTAATACAACAAATGCACACAGACACTCCCACACTCAACTTTAATGTCACACTTTTCCTCTAAGTATGAGGTTGTTTTGCAGGTTGCTTAGCTTATTTTTTAGGTTACAATTTTACCCAATTATTCATCAGAACAATTCACATTAAAGCCTGATTAAAATGAGGTACAATGGCAAGGATGCTCTCAACACCTGAGTCTGAAAGCCAATGACCATGAGCTGGCAGTGAGTCATTTCTCAAACATGCTCTCACCATAGTGTTTGAGGAATGGTTCAAAATCACCCTGGAAGGTTTCTCTCTTCAACTCGTGCACAAACAGTTGACCCACTTGAGTAAAAGCCTTTATATCCGCATGGACCGCCAGGAGACAGGCCAGACAAACTATGGGAGGAGAAAATAAGGCCTAGAATCCTTAATGCTGGGCGCATACTGCACTCACAACACAGCTCATGCACGGCACTAACAAAACACTCAGACACCTTTGTAACGGGCAGCTTGCATATACACACAGCCAGAAATTTGTTTTCATATTCACACTGCTGCCTGGACCAGAAGTTCCTCATCTTTAGCTACTATTGCCCATGCTGCTCTTTAAATACGTATGTAGGCTGAGAAATCACATTCACTTTCTAAAGACTTCCATAAAAGTACGCCTACATAATCAACTAAAAAAGACTAACAACAGCGAAATGTTTTAAATCATGTTCAAAGAGGAGTTCGGTACATTTGAACAAGCCCTTTAGATGCAGGAGTAGATCACTCACTCAAATGCTTCAGAAAAGGTCAAGAACCTGGCATGTCTCTCGACCTCATGGATGCCAAATGTAATAAAAGACACACATCATTGTTCTGTTTTCAAATACCCTTTACATTCCTGTCTCGTATGACAAATATACAGTTCTGACATTTGTTACGTCATAAAAAAAAACACAGAGAAACTTGCCTGTAAGACACAATTCCCAGCTCTTGTCAGCCATCTTGTTTTATGTTATGTGATTGACAGTAGCAGAAGGAACTGCTATGCAGAAGTAGTTGGCTTCGGCTATTTTAGTTCCCCGCATTCCCAAATAGATCATGTGTGCACTGGTGTCTATATTTGTGTTTATCTGAGCAGTGCGCCAATGCAATGAAACTCATAAGTTTATGTACTGTGAGCGTCATTGAGTGCTTTCTGTGCTCTGCTCGTATGACTAATTTTGCACATTAGCTTTTGGTAACAGCATTTCCCAGAGAACTCAAAACTGGCTGGTGTTTGGGCTGGGCTGATGGGACGGTGGGGCTCCACCGCAGTGACGTCTAACATCAGGCACCTACACACTGAATGGAAGAACTGAGTGAGAGGTGCTTGACAAAGACAGTAAAGCATCAGAAAGTGGGGTACAAAGAAAAGAAGGTACGTGTGCGTGTGGTAGGGTTTCCACATTTTTTAGGGCCCCTGTCACTCAAAGGTCATTGGAATCATCCTAATTTTGCTCTTCATGGCACCCTTGTTGGACCCCCACTACTGCTGCCACTTTCTGAAGAAATATGGGATGCCACACCCCCAGAATAGCATTTGCTGATTGTACAGTATGTAGTTACCTATTCGCATCTGACAGAGCCTGGCTGACCCAGGTAATGAGGTATCTATCCATTTCGACGACATGGCCGAGCCCAGTATCAACTTATTCCACAACAAAACCTCTGTTCTCTGTTAAGGAACTACACAAGGTCCATCTGGAGAAGCAAATTAGAAAGTATGATCTCCAAAAGGAGCATAGTAATCTGCTTTAAATTATAAATGGAATACCAGTGAAAGGTGAGTTTTGTGGTTGTTTGCCAGCTTGGGGTTTGGGGGTTAGCCACAGTAAAGTTCCCAGTTTGTTGTATCATGTTTCTTGAGTTCCCTGAGCGTATAGCTTACAATTTGATATATTCAAGACCTCCTATACTGCTGGGCCCCCTGAATCTGCCAGGGTATGCATAGACCCCTGATCCCACTACGGAGAACCTTACACAGAAATAAACAATAATAATATTACCTAATGACAATGACAATCAGTACAGTCCATTATGCTCTGTGTATATCTAAGCCTCTGTTTCTCTTGTTGTAATATGGAATATATTGATTGACAAGTGACATGAAGTCAAGACATATAGTCGTTGTAATATGTCAATTGAAATAACAAAACTCCTTTCAATTTGAAGACCATAGTTCGTTTTGCACTTGCATGCAGTTAAAGCGCACTAGCGTATCTCCTTAATTACTTTTAAATTAAATTATGATGTAGATGTTAGACGTACTAAGTTACAAAATAAGGATATAGAAAATAGGTTTTTACATGTTGATGGTAGTGATATTCAGCTGGAAGTACCCTGAGTTAAATAAATAAACAAACAAACAAATAAATAAATATTCGTTTTGCACAACATACCAATAGCTTTATTCTTCCTTCAGTAGAGTCCATACCTTACAACCGATACGGAAACAGGACTCGCACAGTTCTGCGTGACCTGACTCACCCTGGTCAAATATATATACACACGGTATTGCTACGGTTTAACAATGATCATCCTTTATTTGTCAGTTATTGTAGTGACAGTAACGCAGTAAATTAAAGAATGGTTTTATGGATGAATACATTGGCTACACCGTAGGCCTATCGTCGTTTTAAAAGACAAATTCTCTATATGTAATTGCTTCCCCCGTTGCGCCAAGTCACTAATGCAAAGCCGAAGATGGCAGCGTCCAACTAAAAGAATCTCGTTCTCTTAAAAAAACAGTACTTTACCCCGATCATCAGTAACGGCATGCCCCCTCATATATAATATTGGCCTATATCTATGCTGACATTATAGGAAAATCTCTATCCATTAAAATATATACCAACAAATATACACGAATTTAGCAAATAAGACATGATTAAATATAAAAAAATATGTAGAAAACAGAAACTCAACATCTCCTCGTTAGTATAGTGGTTAGTATCCCCGCCTGTCACGCGGGAGACCGGGGTTCGATTCCCCGACGGGGAGTAATACTTATTCGTTTTGCACAACATATACAACGTTTTGCTTTATTCTTCCTTCACTAGAGCCCATACATAACAACCTGAGCGTATAGCATAAACAGGACTCGCACAGTTCTGCGTGACCTGACTCACCCTGGCCAAAGCTGCTCTCCAAATCGAGGCCCGGCCGAAGATAAAGCAGCATCAGGACTGCCACCACCCGGGTTAAGAACAATTTATACCCCTCTGCAATTTGGCAATTCAGCGCAGTGCGATCAATCTTCAGCCTCATAAACACACAATATACTTTACTAGACAGAACGATACTTTACAGTTTGCACATTGCACTTTACCGTATTTCCTATTTTAGCCATTTCTTTTTTATATTTATCCTCTATTAGCCTTATTTTCTATTTCATCCATTCCTTCTATTTATTTCGCATTTATTGCATAAATGCGTACCTCTGCAGTTCCTAGTTATACGTCTACTTCTATGTTTTGTCCGTGCCTTGCTTTTGTTTTGTGCTATTTAATTCTCTTACGTTACATGACTCGGACTGGATGGCGCGATTTAAAAATCTTATGTACTGTTGTGGAATAGGCAAATAAAGAATTCTTAATATCCTTCACCATTGCAAAGTACTTATGCTGGCGGAGATGCCATATGCTCACGACGAGAGACTGGGAGAGTGAGAGAGGGAGGGGAGAGAGGGGGGAAGAGGGGGCAGTGCTGACAGCTCGCCGCGATTCTGGGGAGCGAAAGCGGAGCGTGGACACAATGGAGCGCGCGGCAGGAGACTCCTGAAAGAACCGTCCATTTACCAGGTACCGCCGTGGCCGCACGTCTCCGCTGGCGTGATCACCGCGCACGCCAGTCCCTGTAGCCGCCGTTAATGTGGACATTATCGTGGAATGCAAAAGATGCAGGAAGCAACGTAGCAGAGTAAAGGCATCAGTAGGGTACACGACCGAGGCCCCAATTCTCCGCATGGTCCTAAAGCTATGGTGGCCGGGGATGGTTTGGGTCAAACAGTCATAATCGCTCATTTAAACAAATAAACATCTGGCGCGATGCTCGCCGTCGCCGTAACGTTTACCGTGCGCAGCGACCTTTGCGTGTATAGCCTAAAGCGGCAGATGATAGCTGTATTTTTCCAATCATTTAAAAAATATTCCAGCGGCGGTTGCAACATTCATCTCTCAACAAAGCCGTCCGTTAGAAATCACATATGCTTGTCAAATTTCATGCATCCGCATCAGTAACGTTGACTCACGTTTGCCATCAAGATACGAGAAAATGCCGTTATTATTAAAATAAAGATCACATTCGTGATAGCCACCGACACTGCTTGAACGGAAAATACATATAACACAAGCATTAAAGACGACAAGACAGTTTATGAAATAGGTGGCGTTTTGCTTTTCAAACGAGAAAACAAATAGTCAGACAAAAGTCGTCCCATCCCACTGTTTATGTCAGACCCGAGCAATTTTGTCTTTTATTTTTACAATCTATTTTCAAAAAATAATGTTGATTCAATTTAAAGACACAGCTGGCAATTCATACGCCAATAAATGCATATTTCCGACACTGAATGCTAGCTGAAAACATGTGAAGATTAGACAAGGGCCAATGTATAAAGATTATTCGGCTACTAATTGCGTTGTTTTCGACAGACAGACAAAAATAAAATGAAGAATGGAAGCAGTTGCAGATATAACTAAATACTGCTAATGTCCGGTGTTAGACGTTGAGGAAATGCATTGCTTTCACTAAGCGGTATATATGCAAGATTTTTTTTTTAAAAAAACACGGTAGTACGTATTGTTTAGTCAGGCATATGTATAGCATAGTCGATAAAATATACAAGTAGTAGGGCCTTACATTATTTTTTTCATTCGATAGTTAACGTTTAATTTTTGAAATAACAATGATGAGGAAGGAGGAAATAGTAATCGGACTAGCATTAAGACCCAGGGGTGCTCTTCCTCTTTGCTGCAGCTTTGCTGTTGCGGGAGGACCAGAAATCTGCAATAAGGCGGATGAGAAAATTCAAGAGATCAAAAATGTCATGTAAAGGGGATTAAACACAAGTGACTGATAAATGCGGGGACCGCTGGTAACGTATCGGTCGATATTTTTGTAACAGATTTGCACTTGAAAGAAAGTAGCGTATTTTTCCTTTTTCAATTTATTGTGAAATACCGATGTAAATCATAGATGCAGAAGCCTGATTTTTGTATTCTCCCCATTCGCTTCCCTAATTCTGTGCCCGCGTTTGTGTTCCTGTCTTGCTGACCGCTGCCTATGGTGGATCTGACCGTTTTGCGATGACCTACCAAAGGAGATAAAGGGGAGCTATGCCGTTACTGACCTACCTCAGCAACGCTTGATTAATCATGATGAAGACCGAGTCCCCGTCCTCAGCCAGCGCAAGCACCACTACCAGCTCCAACTCCAACTCCAATCTCAGGAGCCCGTCTCCGCACAGGAATGCGTATGAGGCGGGCATCCAAGCGCTGAAGCAGGCGAAGGACTCGCTGAACAGCGCTGCTAACGGCGATGGCCAGGACAGTAAGCCCAAGTCGTCTTCTCGGGGCCGCAGGTATGGCTCCAATGTGCACCGCATCAAGAACATGTTCCTGCAGATGGGCTCTCCTGTTCCCGGTGAGGGGGAGGACCTGGCTAAGAGCAGCGACCGGTCAGTGCGTCTCTCACTGCCTCGGGCCAGCAGCCTAAACGAGAATGTTGACCACAGCGCACTGCTCAAACTGGGCGCCACTGTTTCAGAGCGCGTCAGTCGCTTTGACCCCAAAGTGGACGGGGGCCAACACAGGGGGTCGTCTGGTTTTTCCAAGCTGCAGGAGACCCGCAAGATATTTGAACAGCGCCACCTGCAGGAGAAGCAGGCGGCCACCAACCGTATCCTGTTAAAGAAAGAGCGGGCTTCTGGCTTCCAGGACGGTCGGCTGGATGTAGTGGTACGCTTCAATGGCAGCACAGAGTCGTTGGACAATCTGGACGGAGGCGGTGCGGTGGAGGCGGTCTCACCCACCGTAAGCCAACTCAGTGCCGTCTTTGAGAAGGCTGACCTCCGGAACAACCTGCACAGGCCCTCCACCTCTCCACTGCCCTCTCGGGGGGTCGGTTCACCCTCAGGGAGAGCTGGCACCCTCAGTTCCAGGATCATCTCCAAGAAGACCCATGTCCCTCCTCAGAGCAACCAGGAGCAGAGCGGCCACTCAAAGGACCAGGAGGTGTCGCCCAGGAGTTCCAGAGCTAAGGTGAGCACCCAAAATGAGGACGTGGGCTCAAGACGGGGAGCCCAGGCTTCTGAGGCAGACAAGGCTAAGCTGGATTCAGAGGTGGGCAAGTACAACGAGGCTGTGAACTCTAGCGCGAAGGATGAGGCTGAGGGGGAACCAGGCCTCACAGGTGGCCAGGAAGATATTGGGAACCAAGAGGCGGCCAGCCGACTGGTGCAGGCCGAGGTTCACGCCTCGCAGGAGAATGAGGAGGTTGCTGGGAAGAGGGAGGGCTTAGAAACAGCCAGCTCTGTCGGCAAGGATTCTAGCACCACCGAGGTGGGAGAAGAAGGAGAGAAAGGCCTTGCAAACAAGGTGGACGAGTCCCTACAAGGGGAGGACCTGTGTGAGGAGTCCCGGAAGGAGGATTACTCAGAGGCGGACCTAGTGGACATCAGCGCCTACAGCGGCATAGGGGAGGACTCTGGGGGTAGCCAGCTGGACGAGGAGGAGGATGAGGATGAAGACGACACCTATGAACCTGAGTCCAGCTGTACTGAGGTTCCGGGACTTCCTACAGAGGAGGAACCGCCCCCGAGCCGGAAAATCCGTTTCAGCACCGGACCGATCAAGGTGAGTACTCATCAGGGTTTGGCTGGGGGTCTGTGGGTGCCGCTGTGGCCGTTTGGCACGAACAGTGTATCTAACCTCTGCTGCACAAGGGATGCTGAATATCACCCATCTGAAGTTAATTTATACTCATTTTATTTATATAGGATAGTCTCAAGAATCTGTTTTGCTACTAGACTTTTCCTGACTTGCCTGCTTGCCAAGAACCACCTAGTGGAAGGTGCTGGGGACTCGCATTGTGGAATGAAGTGACTTTGGTGCCATGTAAAATGTGATTTGTGATCTGTAGAAAGCACATATATTCACTGCCTCAGTCATGGATGTTCCGAGTCAAGAGGAGGTATAACTTTCGATTTTGCAATGGCCAGTCAGCCCCCCAGTGCAGAAACGGGGAAGTAAATACCACCAGTGGCCAGCTCCTAATGCGTCTTGAAACAATTTGTGATTTGGCAATCAGAAGGTGGCAGAAAATGGTTTTGGACATGAAGTCTTTTATGATGGCTAACGTTGGCCTGATATGAGCACACACCTAGACCAGGGGCATGCAGACAATCTCCCATGCCGTTGTTAGCAGTCATGATGCTGTTCCTCTGTTTGTAGGTGTTTAAATGTATTGCATTGAAGTGACCGACCCCCACCCCCGCTCCAGCATATATAGATATGGATATAGGTGCTATATGGTGATGGTTTTCTGAAAGAAAACTGAAACCTGCGATATGAGGACAGATTTTTCTTAAATTCCTTTGTTAGATTTCTTTTAGATGCTGTGCTATACTGTAAATGCATCTTCCTAAGGCATAAACCCCCTTTTTTCTTACTATAGTGGTATAGATGCACACATGAATAGCTAATATACACCATCCTCATACAAGGCAAACATTTGCTTAACCAGCTTTTGCTGTGTTTCCATTGATAAAGTGATTAATTTGGTGGCATTGCTATTCATCGTACTATTACCAGTTACTGTACCTTTACTGAAGGAAGTGGTTGATGTATTTCTGTGTCCCACCCACCTAATTTCCTGTCACCATTCAGATACAGATCAAAGACCTATCAACTGCTGGAAAAATAAGATAGTATGACCTTTATTTTTTGGATCTTTGCTAAAATTGCGAGAGTGTTTAATAAGACCATCCGTTGTAATTTTTTTAAGCCCATGGCGTTACTTGTTCTCATGCAGATTTCCTCTAGTTACCGTCTCGTCCCACAGTCCACGGGCATGCAGTTAGGCTAATATGCATCTCTAAATTGCCTGTGTGTGTGTGTGTGGGGGGGGGTGTATATGACCAGCGATGGACTGGCATGTTATCCAAGGTGGCCCCCCTGCTTATGATACCTGGTATAGGCTTCGACCCCCTGCATCTCTGTCCAGGAAAAGCGAGTAGGAAGATAGATGCATCATCATCAATGCCACATCAGCTCCTCATTCCTAAGCTTGTGTGAATCTGGGCATTTTCTCACACCCCTAGTTTGGCAGGCAGACACTTGAAGGAATTTCTCTGATTGTGATACTCGTGCGGTTGGGTAGCTCACTTTTGTTTTGGAGTCTCTTACGGACTATTCAGCTTGTCTGTCCCATGGTGGCATCGCTCGTCATGAACAGGTAGCCAAGCCAGCGGAAGGTGGGAGGTCCCACCGTGGGCTTACCCCGAGGCCGGCTTGCGCGTCAGACGACACACCGTCTGTGCGGCCGGAGGCCTGCCATGCTCGCCGCGGAGTGCTGAGTAAGAGTGCGGGGGTAGCAGATAAGGGGGGAGGCTGTAGAGGTGACACGCAGCACGGGGGCGTGAGCGAGGTTCACATTGTTGGCTCTTGAAAAAATACTCTTTCCCAGCTTCTGAAAGGGTCTGCTGAAGGTGTCTTTCATGCCTCAAGGATGTGGGTCCCTCTGTTCTTGCTGCAGTCAGGTTACATAAGAACAAAAGCAAGCGTTAACTTTACCCAGTGCTGGTCTGATCAAATCTGAAGATGGTGACTCAAGCGTACTGCCAGTAACGGTACTCCCCGGTACTCCCCAGTACTCCCCGGTACACCCCAACCTGGACCCTTTATGTAAAGATGCTGTCAGTGTTATTTTCTTTGATTTCAGGGGCTTTCAGTTTGTTACTAAACTGATCTCTGGCTTGTTTCCCTGTGTATGAATCAGGAGATCTTTCTGATTCTGTCCTCGCTCAGTGCCGCACGTCAGTAGATATTTAGCGTGACCCTTGAAGCTCGGGAGACATCCTCATCTTTGCTGATCTCACTCTCTCGCTCTCTCTCTCTCTCTCTCTCTCTCTCTGTTCCCCCCGTCTCTACATGAGATTCATCCTTTTCTGAAGTGAGGTGAGCAGAGTGTCAGGACTTTATCAGTCAGTACTAATTTAGTGTAACAGTTGGTGAGGAGGCCTGATTCCTGCCAGCCATATTAGAGAGTAATCGATGTATTAATCAGTCATATTAATCAGGAAGGTTAATCATTATTGCCAGAGCTCAGCTTAAAACAGAGAAATGCTCAGTTTTAAATATCACAGAGATTTAGTGTACAGTAGTGAAACTAACATTATGTCTTTTTATGTGGCATACAGGGAAGGGGATGGTCTTTTTCTTGGTATTAGTGAGTTTGTGCCCCTGGAATTTTAACTTGGAGTCATCTGGTCCCAGGGTCAGCTCCTTAACCGCTACACAGCAGGACACAAGAGCTCATTCAAGAGTCAGGCCAGGCCTGAGCAAAAACAAGATTTGCAGGGACAGTATTCTGACATCGAACCCTGATAGGATCTTGTTTTCCTATCTGTAAGACTAAGACGGGCTTGATACTGAGTTCAGACCTGTTTGCCTGTTGGAATGATACAGGACAAAGACCTCCTTTGTTAAACCCAAGATCTTATTTAAGATCCTGTTTTATGGGCACTTGTGTTGCTGAGTACTGAAGCTTCATTTCAGAAAGTGTTTTTTCAGTCTTTGTGTGGCCTTTCTTTGGGGGCTTTAGTGCCTCGTCTTTGGCAGAGACACAGCCAGGTGTGAGGATAGGAGCTGACCGCTGAGCCCGGATGGCTTCCCTCTGAGGTTTTGCATACCTTCGTGCCAATGATGGGTCGCTAGATGGAGGTGGAGGCCGGCATGGTTGAACTGTCATGAGGAAAGAGCCAAGTAACTGGGTTGAATTCTGGAAGTCCAGTTTCTGCAGTCTGGTTCCATTGCTGCTGGTCAGACCTCTGCCACCAGTTCACTTGGGCAAGTGGCATCTGAGATGGCTGTTCATTAATATTTTGTTTCTTTTCTTTTCTCTTGGTTCTGTTCAGCTTTATGGTGGAATATTGCTTTTTTAGGGGAAATAAAAAATATTTGTCCATCTTCTGAAACCACTTGTCCAATTCTGGGTTGTGGGGGGGTCCAGAGCCTATTGGCACAACCCAGGATGGGACGCCAACCCATTGCAGGGCACACTCCCATACCATTCACAAACATGCATACCTACAGGAAATTTGGAAGCTCCAGTTAACCTCAGCATGTTTTTGGAGGGTGGGGGGAAACTGGAGCACCAGTAGGAATCCCCCAGTATGACACGGGGAGAACCTGCAAACTCCACACATGGAACCCTGATGAAGGCTTGGTCTCCAGAGGTATGAAGCAACAGTGCTAACCACTGCACTACCGTGCTGCCCCAGTATTAAAAAAAAAAAACATTTTAGTTATTTACTATCATAATTATAGTTATTTAAAAGGTACTGTGTCTAGGGAAAAATGACGTATGATATTGTGACAGTTAATTAACTGTGTCAGAGTCAGCGCTATTCCAAAACTCGGATGACCTTGAGGTTGTGCTGCACTGCAAAGTGCCATATTCAGTTAAATGTGGCATCAAGTCAAAATTCAGCTTTAACTCAGGACAGACCCCCAGTTGTGCAGTATTGTATTTGCCTGTTTTCAGCACTGGCTTCAGCAGACAGTGGGCTACTGGACAGGCAGCTTATGGTGATTGCCCTCTGACCTTTTGCCCCAGCTGACTGCAGTTCAGACTCTGGCCTCCAAATATAGGAAATGTGTCAGATTTTTATGTCTAATCTCTGTATTTTTCTTTTTTTAAAAAAACATTTCTGGCTCTGATGAGCTGATCCTCTGAGAATATTGTCTTTTTTTTAATTGCTGGATTTGTTCATATGGGATTTTTAGGTGAGCAGAAGGCGTAGCCAAATTCTGCTTTTCAAAAAGAATTAAATTGCTAAGTGGTGTAATGCATTTTTTTTACCTCAACAAGTCAAAATATTGGATTACGAAGAGATGATTATTGGTGGCAGGTTAGTAGTAGGCTTGGGTTTGGGTTTATGGAAATATGGTATACTGCGGTATTTTGGGTATACTGCGGTATTTTGAAATCTTGGTGGCAAAATATCTGGAAGGGGTGTGACACAGAATTTTTTTTTTCCATGGGGCTGCGCCCACCCCCTACTCTGAAAATTTTGGAAAACACAGTCAAAATACCGTATACCATAGTATAATGTCATGGTATGGGATACTGGCCAAGCTAAGTTAGTAGTGGAAATATGAGAGCCACCTGATTCTTTGGCAAGACCCATAGCAGCTCCCGGAATATACTGTGGGCAAAAGTCACGTTACGAAGACTGTGGGTTTTGGAAGGCTAGGGCAGCTTGTCTTAGACACGTTGGACTGTTAGACATCATGTAACAGAAAGGTGAGGAGTCCCACTGAAATCCCTGACCGGGCCGGAGGAGCTTCTGAGGAATAGCGAACATCAGCCTCCTCCGCTTGTGTTGGTCCGGCGTTCATCAGACTGACAGCCAGTTCTGTTTCTCACAGGTCCATTCTCTCAACCCCCTGCTTTGCTCTGAGTTAATAGCATTATTTGATTACAGCTTATTACTGGGATGGACAATTAAAATTCTCCTGGAATTAAGATGGCAGAACAGTGTTGAGTGGTGATAACCTGCAGGAGAGGAGTTACAGGCAGGAACATAGAAACTAGTCTTTATGTGAACCATGGGTATTATGCAAATGAGTGC